TTCCTGGCATTGTAGTGGCAGCAGCAGCTCCCAGTGCGCAGCAGACTCCTAACGCTATGCTCTTGCAGTTCGGAGTCCAGGGACGGTAGCAGCTGGTAGAGCTTACCTTGAAAGTAACAACTCAGGGAGCTGTTGCCCAGGCAATGCAATTGACTGCTGCGCTGTCGCTTGTGGCGGCTGCTGCTGCTGCTGCTTGGTCAGCGCCGTGGAGGTGCTGCTCTCCATCAGGCATTGCTGGTGCTGCTCCTGCCTCGATAGGTTGTCCGTCAGACGCAGCAGCATCTTGTAGATATGCAAAAAGATGGACGTCGTTTTGGCTGCTGCCTCTTGCAGCACATTAAAGCAGGCATCAAAGTTTCGCACATCGATTTGATTGAGCTCTCTGACCCCATTGTCAACGAGATTGTGCAGTGTGCCAAACATAATGAAGAGCACGCCATGCGCCAGCATGGGGCTTCTTTGATTGGCCCTCAGGGCATACAGCAGCTGGCTGAAGTTGCTGTTAAAGTCGTGGACATTCGGCTGCTGCTGCTCGTGGACGTAGAAGTTGTTTACGCAATGGGCAATCAGTTGAAGCAGCTCGAATTTGATTATCTCATCGTTGTCATGGGGGGAGCAGCCGTCGTTGTCTTCAAGCTCTGAGCTGGCGGCGGCGCACAGATGACCGAGTGCAAAATTGTGCACCGTGACACTCAGCTGCGACTCTTGCTCCGCGTCCACGCAGCGTGTCAGCAATTGGATGAGCAGCAACGCCAGTTCATCGCTGCTTTTCGAGGCCCTTTTGAAGTCCTCAATGTTTGTGATTATTTCACTGGATATGTGATTCCATAATTGACATTTCTGTGGCAGCTGCTGCTGCTGCTGCTGGCGGCGAGCCGCTGCCTTTTTGCTCTGTGAATTGAGGTAGAAGCTGCTAATGAACTGAGCCATACCGGTGAGCGGCTGCAGCGGCTGATTGGTGGCACTCCATTTGCAATTGGGAAACAGATTGATGCACAGCTGACAGAGGCTCTTCTGTGAAGCAATATGCTGCAGGAAAAAGAGCGATTAAATTAGCATAAATATAATGTATATATTCTGTCTCCCACTTGCCTTGATATCCACGCGCAATAAGAAGGCCAGCAAGTGATGACCCAACTTATCGGTGAGAAATGTACGCAAGGCGAGAATCTTATTACAATCGCTGGGTGTGCTGAGTATAAGCTGGGAGAAAGTGAGCAACAATTAAGGTCGCAATTGATAGAGGAACACCATCGATAGTGGCTATCGCTGCGAAACGAACCTGCGCTAGATTATGCTGCTTACGCAGCTGCTTGATGCACTTGTCCTGCTGCTCTGGCTCTGTCTCAGGCTCTTGGTCTGGGCTGCTACCCTTCGAGCGCTTGGCTTCGCTGATGATTTGATAGACCTGCTCTAGGAGATAGGAGCAAAGCTCCTCAGGCATTAGGTTAAAGTGGCTGCAAAGATATATATATATGTCTTGAGAGGGGACTACAAAGAGAGATGGCAGCACTCTTATGTACCTATTGAGCCAGGCTTCTTCCAGCGTCCGATCATCTAGGAACTGAAAGTTGTACAGCAACAGCCAGAGCCAGTGGTCCTGTCATTGAAGTGAAGTGAAAAAAAGCGATAAGAAGAATATTCCATGCTCTTCGCATATCAATGGAGGAGTACAAACCTTGACACTCGCCTCTTCGTGCTCTGCAGCATGTAGATAATGGCTCCAGAGTCTGATCAATGTATCCAGCAGCAACTGGCGGTGTTCCTTCTCCTGTGCCAGCTGCTGCTGCTGTTCCAGCTCCTCCTCGGCCATGGTAAATCACAGATAATGGCAAACGTGCCTCCCAACTGGCAGCTGACAAGTTCTCTCCGCTTCACCAAATCCTCGTGCATCGGGCAACGTTGTGGACGCACTGAGCGTTGAGACCAAACTGAACGTAGGCGATCGAAGGAGAACGCCAGCTGTAATGCAATTATTAAAGCGAATCATTAAGCAAGTAGAATCTGTGTCTTCTGTATGCGTGTGCCATAGGAGGAAAAAGAAGCGACGATGCGTGATTATTTGCCCAGAGGCGGCCAGGCCGAGCCAGGCCGGTGATGCTGATAATTTGGAGTGGAAACTTTAGTTGTTTAGCTGCTGCTGCTGCTGCTGCTGCAGGAAAACTATTAAGATTGCTATTTATAGAGCGGGGCAGCAGCATTGCAGTGGCATTGCATTATGTTGCTAAGCCGGCAAAAGATAGTTGCTTGTGTTGGTTGTGGGGAGGGGGGGCAGGGCAACTGGTGGGTGGGTGCAACGGCTCTGCCGCTCTAATGATTCTGCTTCTGGTGCTGCTGCAGCTACAACCGAGTAAACAGCTGGCAATGATGCGTGTCTGTAACGGCCACTGGTTGCGGCGATAAGGGGCAAACTACAAGCAGTAGGAGACCGCATCAATGCAAGCTCAAATCACTTGATTGATTTCTGCACGAGAGAAGGTTTTCCCCGCTGTGATCCATTCATTCCACTGGCGTTATCGCCACAAAAATATACAGTGGGGTCACAGCCAAAGAGAGGTTCCATTTCTCTACTGCGCAGAACCGAATTATGCCTCTCCTCTCCGCTAGTCATCAAATATGAATGGAGTGCATCTAGTATATGGAAAGCACATAAAAAATTAATTTTCGTAGCTCACCAGAAAACGAAACGAAAAGGAAATAATAGCAACGCAACAGCAAGAACAAGCAATATTAGATCGCCATTTTAGTTGGTTTGTTTCTTGTGTGTGTCTCCCCTTTGACTATATATCTTCTTGGCGCCCCGCGAGTACGTTTGTTATTGTTTAAACAATTTTGTTGTTTTTATGTTGTTGTTTCTGAATGTACGACCAGCTGACCCTCAAAAATATACGTAAATATACCAAAAAATTTAAGTAATGAGTGAGTGGAACGAACTTAACCCACATAAACCTCCTCTACTTTAAAACAGGTGAACAACGCCAAAAATAATATTGTTTGTAAACTCCCCTATAAGTTTCATCTATCCTATTTACTGACAACAAAAAATAACACGATATCTTTCACCTGAACTGCGTTAAAATTTCAAATTACACTACTCGACAAAATCGAACTTTTTTTTTCCTCAAGGATCCAAACCGACTTTTTCTGATAGATATGGGGCTTTAAATTTTTTTTAAAGAATTATGGTTTTTTTTCTATGGCAGAACTTTTTTTTGAAAAATTTTTGAAGTCTTGTATTTTTTTTTAAAGCTTTTTTCAGAGGTAGCGCTTGTTTTTTTCACATAACTCTAGTATCTTACGTCTGGTTGTAAAGAACTTTGCTATCGCTACCTATCGCTAACTATCGAAAAAAGCTTTAAAAAAAAACCAGTTTTCAAAAAATTTTTAAAAAAAAATTCTGCCATAGAAAAAAAAAATATCATCAAACCATTTCTAAGCCCCAAATCTCTAATAAAAAGTTGGTTTTGTTCCTTGAGGAAAAACGTGTTGACCAGTGTTATTCGTGTGTGTAAGTATTAACTGGTCGACAATGGGCTAATCGGGATCTGACCACGATCAGAAGTCATATTTCTCGATTTTGATGTTCTGTTCAATATTACTAACTAACTAGGACCCTCAGCACTGAACATATTATTTTACAAGATTGGTGAATTCATTTTCCACAAGACCGGCTTCTTTAAAAAAGTCCCCAAAATTTGCGACCTTTATAAAACGTTAAAAAACCCAGGATTGCCAGTTAATACATACATTTATTTTTGACAAATTTAACAACCTCTCCTTATTGATTCAAAACGTTACAATAAAAAGTTTTAATGCATGAATTCCCTTTTAAAAACACTTATTGAACCTGAAAAATGTTACCAAGCGTGTAGGGATAGCCTTTAGATTTAACACAGCGAAGTTCCGACAATAGGCGCGTAGCTGAGTCGCGACATTTTTTTAGCTTCTCAGGATCCATGCAATCGAATATGTTAATTTCATTAGTCAAATATAATTCAAGTCTGCCAGAGTGTAGATGATCCACTAAGCAGGCCCACATATCAATAAGCAGCGTTCCCAAATCTTTTTTCCAGTTAACTTTTGGGAGTTGATGGAGCAACACAGTTTTCATGAGGAATAACACATCATTGAAATTATCCAATTTAGTCCAACGCTCTACATTTTTGCATTCCCACTTTGGGGAACATACTATAAAGGTGCTCTTGTCACTTGATCCCCATTTTGTATACGGTACAGCGAACCACGAATAGTTGCCAGCTTCATTATATGGGTGTTTCTGGCTCAGGTCCAAGGGCCACTCATCCCAACTGAACTTGAATGCTGGCACCATATTTAACGTAATGGGCTTATTCTGCTCTTCAACTTCCATGGTGTAGCTTTTGGGGTTATATTTTATTTTATTACCCTGTCTAATTAAGTGAAATGCGGGTAGCGTATCGAGTTCTTTGCGTAACCAATCTTGAAGATTCCCTACATTAATGTAATTGTTGGTGAGGAGATCATGCTCATTGCCATATGAATACAAAAAGACGAATCCATTCTCGTCTCTTTTTGGGGTGGTGCGCAAATACATGTCAAAAATTATTTGAAAAGGTTCATCAGATGTGCAAAATCCACCGTAAAGCCATACTGAAAAATACAAGAAAACAAGGATTACCCAATTGATAAAGGTGTCCTGTCCAGAGGTCCAATAGCTTACTGTTAGAGTATGAGCCACGTTCAATTTTGTCTATTTTGTTTATCAACTCATTTTGGATTTTCTTGTGTTGTTCCTCGGAACCACGCAACTGTTGCAACATATTTTGCAATTCTATTGCAAAACTCATGATTAATTAAAATTAATTAAATTAAAGATTTAAGAGAAAGACTGCGGAAAGTCCCTTTTTAGTTGTAAGCTCGTCTACTTTTTCCCGATGAATTCCTCAAGCAACTCTGAACAAACTCCAGTTGCATACATCTTTCTTCAGCAGGTTGGCAGGGCTGTTATCGATAACATATATACAACATCCCTGCGGATGCTGCTGCTTTTTTTCAGACCAAAGGTTTTTTGGTTTTTCTATCAAAATTGATTAAAAAACAACAAAAACTAGATCCCCATCCAATTGTGGCCGTATAGTGTAAAGGTGCATTAATTTGCCAGTGAAATAGAAAGTGAATTAAATTCTCAGCTCAGCAAAAGCAGTCGAAATCGTCACACCTCACCGTTTCGTCTGCACACCCACCAATACCAATATAATACCCAAGGCAAAAAACTAATACAACTGCAAAGATAGCCAACAAATACAAATAAACTAATCGAAACGATCGAAAGTCTACGTCTGCGAGTGCCAAGGTACTTTTAAGTACTTTTAATTCAACTTACGCTCTGTGCTCTACGTGAAAGTAGCATACAATTTGGAAATATTACGCAAGTACTATTTCTGGTTATATCTGTTGGATAATCATGGCTCAGTAAACATGAATCCTCAACAAGAATATTTTGCCCAACGCACTCCGTGTGGAGACAAAAGCAAGACGCAATTTTCTGCCGATTGGCAGGTATCTAATACTATCGCCCCCACTCCCCCCAATTCCTCTTACTTCTACGAGCAAAATGGACAGCAACAAGAAGCAACAACATGCCAGAGCGAGCAAATCGTCTGGTGAGACCCAACGCAAGTCCAGTGGTGAGTAAAGAGCGGGTCTTCATACATATATATCCAATGAGAGAGATGGATAGATAGCCATCATGCTCTACCTATGTATGCATACATATGTGTTGTCTCTGTTGCTTATTTACCAAACAACCTATCTGTATTCTTTCCCGATCAGAATTGCATGCCAACAACAAACAGCGCAATAGCCGCAGACGTGAGCAGCTTCCGACGCCGCGCAACGAACAGCAACAGCAGCCGAGGAACCCCAAACAGCAGCAACAACAACAGCAACCTGCTAAACTTCGTCCCAATGTGGACAAGCGTCCAAGGGCGCGAGGCAGCGGTGGTGGCGGCGGTGGTAGTGCTGCTGGCTACTATGGCCCTACCGATGGAGCTTACGATGGCCCTGAATCCGGGCATCAAGACGGGGCTTACGGCGGCACCGGACTAGCAGCCACCAGTGGCGGCTACCCGCGTAGCGACTTTGACTATGAACTAAACTCTGTGTATGCGCAGGGCAGCAAGAAGCAGAACCTGAACCATCTGCTCAACTTCCATTGTGTGCCGCGCGATGCGTCGGACACTGGAAATGGCCATGGACGCGGCGTTGGTCATTATCATCATCACAATGCTGGGCGCAAGCCTCGCTACAACAAGGAGCAGTTCCTGCAGGCCAACTTTCAGTTTGTCATTCGCACGGGGGCCAAGGCCCAGGTGAATGGCTCGCCGGACACTTTGATCGACTGGAACTTCATTGAGCAAATCAACATCCAGACCACGGAGGAACCGCAATGCCCCATCTGTCTGTATCCCCCGGTGGCTGCCAAGCTGACGCGCTGCGGCCATGCCTACTGCTGGCCCTGCCTCTTGCACTATCTCTCGCTGAGCGACAAGACCTGGCGTAAATGCCCCATCTGCTACGATGCCATCCACGCTGGAGATCTGAAGAGCTGCACCATTGAGCAGCAGCATGCCATGAATGTGGGAGATAGCATAACCTTCCAGCTAATGCGACGTCGCAAGGGCTGCATGTACATCGAGCGTCACGGCGTAGGGGAGTTCGGCGAACGATTCCCCCTGCTCAGTGCTGGGGACGAGGCCAAGCGATACTCAAAGTTTCTGATCGCCAAGCGTGCGGATGTGGCGGACATCATTGAAAGAGAGCGACGCGAACTATTGGCTGAGTCGGATGTATCCTGTCCGGAGGATATATTCACACAGCAGGCACTCGTAATGCTGAACGAGCGCCTCGAGAAGCTGGGCCTCAAGGAGGATGAGGAGTCGCCGCTGGAGGAGCAGCCACCACCACCACCCGAAACGCTCAGTCTGGATAATGAAACCAAAATTGATATTGAGAAATCGGACGATGCCTCCATCTCATCGGGCGAGGCTTCCAGCAGCATTGCCAGCGCCCACAGCGGCAGCAAATACTATTATTTCTACCAGTCGAACGATGGACAAAACATCTACTTGCATCCCCTGAATGTTAAGATGCTGCAGGCCTGCTACGGCACTCTGGATCTGGGCCCACTACTGATTGAGTCGCAGATCCTGCAGAAGGAGCAGCACTCCATGGACGAGGAGCATCGACGGAAGTTCACTTGTTTGGGACACCTGCCCCTCACGTGTCAGTTTGCTGTTGTGGAAGTGGAACTTCAACCTCCAGTCGTCTCTGGGGGAATACTCAAGTTGTTTAAGGGTGAGTCTACGCGGTTTGGTCGTTTGACATAGAATCCCACTTAATATGTGCTCGCACATCTCACCCCCAGAGGATATTTTGCATCGCAAGAAGGAGCGGCAGCGTCGCGATCGCGAGGAACGCAAGCGGGAGCAGCACATTAATGAGATCAACGACCGTCAAATGGGCAAACTGATTGCCAGTGCAGCAAACCTGAATCTTGAGTCCTCCCACGAGTTTCCCACTGTAAGATTTCCTTTTCTTTTGGACTTTTTCCCTATTGATTCATCATTTTATTGCTTCTGCAGTGTGGCTTTGAAGAGGCCTTGCCAGCGCCCAGCGGCGTAACGCCAATAATCATCAGGCAGGAGAGCAGTGCAGCCAGCCCCAAGCAGGAACTGTGGCCCACCATCGGCAGCGGCTCACCAGTCAGCAGCAGCGGTGGCGGCGCTATGGGATCTGTGGGTGCCTGGGGACGCTCGGCTCCTCCTCCGGCACCAAGGGCCATACCATCGGCTATGTCACGCGATGAAGACCATGACCAGCGCTCGGTGGGCCATTGGGGTCTGGGTGAGCTGCTTGTCGGTGCTTTGGATCAACAAAAGCAGCAGCAGCCGCGAAGTGGCAAGCCCCACAAAAAGGCCAAGGCCAAGAAAATGGTTCCACTCTTTGCCATGGGCATAAACAGAGCTCCATAAAAGAAGTTAAAATACGCGAAATTAATGTACAACCATGTACGTTATTCTGTTATGAATACTTGGACGTTATTTCAAATCAACGATGGATATTTGAACTTTAATTTAACCAACATTTTATCCATACTAAGCATATGCATAACCATATAAATTTAATCCAATAAAAGCAGCAAGCATACTCGTACTAGTGTCTATCCAATACTTTCGAAATGAATTCAACTACTGGATAACATTTCTCATTCAAGGGCCACTACAGCAAGCCGTCTGTCGTCCAAAATTTATTTTTAAATATTTTTAGGCTTAACAAATTCGAATCCCAGTGGTGGGGCTCTCGTAGACCCCAGGTCCACCTCGGGGGAGCTGCTGGAACGGTTCAGATTGGCAAGCTGGACCGCAGCTGAGCCATGCCTACGAGGATCAATGCCGCTGTCACTCTCGGCCACCGAACGGGACTCTTCATATTCCTCGTTGGAATCGCTACCGTCCGGGGAATGCATTGCCAAGAAATCGTCGGCATTAATCGATGCTGTGGAACTCCAGGCGCTCATTATTTTGCCCTTTGACTCGTTCCAGAACGAGTGCAGACGATCACGTCCGAAGGCCTGTAGAAATGCGTCGATAAACTCGCGCGACTTCTCCTCCCATTTGGCAATGATGTCGACCTTTACCCGCTTGCCGCGATTCTTCAGTTCGTCCATTTTATTCTGCAGACGGAACTTCTTTTCGGACAGAAAAGAAACGTTCAGCTCCTTGGCGGAATAGCCACGTGCCAGATTGCGACGCACATAGACATCGTAGTCCTTTACAATCCGAGCCACAACGTCCGAGGTGGACACACCCTCAGTGCGTTCGGTTGCCACAAACATGCCGCGTGCCTTGAGCGGAGCATATATATCATTACAGCCCCCAGCCCCATATGGAATGTCATCGTGAGCAACAAAATCTATTTTGTGATCAGTCAGAAAATCATCGGTGAGTGTCCAGGGTGCATTTGGAACAACCTGGGAGACAGAAGAAAGATTTAAATTCATCTCCCTTTTAGCTTATTTTGAGACGCACCTCGTCCACATAGCGGCAATGGCGCACTGCCTCGTAGCGCTCAAAGCCATTCATCACTGTACGACCCTTCATTTTCAATGTCAGCTCATCGTTGCACACGCCAACAATCAAATAGACATTTGGAAAGATGTTCTTGGCCTGCATCAGCTGCCTGGCATGACCCTGATGGAAGAGATCGTATATGCCATCGGCATAGACGCGCACCCGACGTTTCGACTGGCCGGAGTGGGCCATCTCGTAGGTGATGCGTTGAGTGTAATCACAGCCATTCAGCTCCTCCAAGGCCTGCGCATCATTCGCGAACGGACATGGCTTGCAAAACGGCTAGAAGTCATATAAAAAGGGTATGAAAATGGTTACCTTTGGGTGACGTGACGTGACTGGCTGCTCTATCGCTTACAAATTTGTCAAAGTTCATGTCATACAGGGGCAACGTCGGGAATGGGGATTGAAAAGAGAACGGCGACTCAGAATCCGTTGAGTCCACAGCCTCCAGCAATTTATCCATCTGGAATTCATATGAAGGTGTCGATCGCCCAGATCCTGACGCTGGCGAAGGCGTTCCATGCTCCGACGATGACGGAGAAGCTTCCTCCTCGATCAATTTATCCATTTTTTTTTTGTTTTATTTATTTTTTTAAATGTAACTATGCAGAACTGCAGCGAACTGGAACCGCTCGTGATGCTTCCAAATGGGTGACTGATTATATAAAATCGTTTCTTTTCCACACAAAATGCTCGGCACACTGTGATGAGGATTGCCAGAGTGTCGGCTCCAGGGTCCGAGAGTTGTTGCCCACAAATTGCGCAGCGCCTATCAAAATTAATTGGCTGCAAAGCCAATTGTGGCTCAGGAGAAGGCTGGCGGCACAGGCACACGACTGGAGGCATAGCATAACGGACCCATTCTTAGGGTGTGTGTCGTGTCTACAAAGATCTCTGTCATCTCTCAATTGCCATAAATTGAGGCGCAAGCAAATAGGAAGTGGTCGCCTGACTATTGGCACGGGGGGCACATATCAGGCGATATATATTTATATACCTTCATATATATAGAAAAATCACAAAGCCATTAAACAAATCAGTGAACCAGCAGACCAATCAAAAACTGTTGTTTCACCACCGTTCGGCATCAGTAGAGCAGCCATTCCAAAAAATTTTCATAATTATATTAAGGGGGAAATGAATACAACACTATATAAAGTCGGAAGCGATAGGAATACAGCTACATGTGTATCGTTCCAACACTTTTTTTTCTAATATAACCAATAGAGGAGGATACGTTTTTGCCATGAGGGTACTTGAAACTATATTGAAGGATACAAAAACCATACGTTTTCATGCACATTGTGCGCTTTCTAAATTTCTGGGACTCTTCGATGCTAAATATACCCTCAATAATTATATATAATTTTTGTTTCAAATTTTTCTTTCGATTCAAGGTTTTATTTTCAAAAAATATTTAACAAAGCATTTGCAATAATTCCGATATTGCCATGTGTTGCATCATGTTACTATTCTTTGTGTGTTGAATGCGTTTTGGTTTTTTCTATGAAGTTGGTGTTTTTTGTTTAACTTATAGTTATAGTGTGTGTGAAATAATTTAATATAAATATTTCTAGATATTTCCGGTATCTCCTACTATTCATCTGCTGCTGCTGCTGCTGCACGCACACAAACAACAATCTCTGTGGCCGAGTGCTTAATACAAAAATGAGTCTTTTCTGCATTGGTTTTCTTTTTTCCAATAATGTAAGCCCCATATACATTTTGCGAGTCGCGGGTTTCGGGAATCGGTGAATGGTGTATCGTGCTGTGCGCCTTCACTCCATTTGGCTAAAATTAGCTAAAGGATCTGATGGGTCCCGGTGGTGAGGGTATGGGAGTGGCAATTAAGAGTGAGGAATAGCCGAGTGAAAGCGATTGAAAACTAAAGACTAATGGGATTACAGATACCGTTTAGAGCTATGTGTAAGTATAGGTGAATCTGGATGAGCCTGCGAGGAGGGACGTTTCCCTCTCGGATCCCCTTTAGAGATAGGAAAAGAGAGGGCGAAAAAGTTCAGGCTAGTTCCAAAATCTAAAATCATTCGCCTCAATTGGCCGAACGTCGCTCAAACTCCACATTCTGTTCCACGACCTCCGTCTCATCGTCATCGTCATCATCATCATCGTCATCGTTCTCGTACGTGTCCTGGTAGCTGCGACGTGCCAGAGCGGATCGCTTCTTATGCTTGCCATTGAGGGAACTACTGCTCGCCGCACTGTATTCCGCCGACAGCTCCAAGTACTCATCGCTGCACTCTGTTTCGTCCTCGTCGCCCTCGAGCTCGTCACCATTGACCGATCCAGAGGGACTGCCGGGCGGACTCAGGGCCTGTATCAGCTTTCCCTTTGACTCGTTCCACAGATGGTTCAGACGCTCGCGTCCAAAGAGAAGCAGGAACGTGTCGATAAACTCGCGCGACTTCTCCTCCCACTTGGTGATGATGTCGCCCTTCACTTTGGTCAGCTCCCGCTTGCCTCGTGACTTCAGTTCATCCATTTTATTCTGCAGACGGAACTTTTTCTCGGAAAGAAATGAAACGTTCAGCTCCTTGGCGGAATAGCCGCGTGCCAGATTGCGACGAACATACAAATCGTAGTCCTTAACGATGCGCGCCACAATGTCCGAGGTGGACACACCCTCAGTGCGCTCGGTGGCCACAAACATACCGCGTGCCTTCAGCGGCCCGTAGATATCGTCCATGCCTTGGGTTCCATAGGGAATGTCGTCATGGGCTACGAAATCTATTTTGTTATCCGCAATGAACGCATCGGACAGTGTCCAGGGAGCATTCTGAACAATCTGCGGGGAATAATTGGTAGGGTTATCAAGCGTTGAATCGACCCGATTGCGCTGAGCACTCACCTCATCCACATAACGACAATGACGCACACCCTCGTACCGCTCAAAGCCATTCATCACAGTGCGTCCCTTCATGCGATGCGTTAGCTCGTCATTGCACACTCCGACAATTAGATAGACGTTGGGAAAGATGTTCTTAGCCTGCATCAGCTGCCTGGCATGACCCTGATGGAACAAGTCGTAGATGCCATCAGCATAGACGCGCACCCGACGATTCGTCTGACCGGACCGGGCCATTTGATAGGTGATGCGATGGGCGTAGTCGCAGCGATCACGCTCTAGCATGGCCTCCTCGTCGCAGGAAAATGGCGCAGGCTTGCAAATGGTCTATAAAATAGAATATAAAACCCAAATTGATGTTGACTACGATTCTATCTTGCGAGTGTCCCACAGCTTACCGCAAAGTCAGATGCGCCGCTAAAGAATTGCTGCGATGTGGACGCATCTATGACCGGAGGCGCCTGTGGCTGTGGCACGTATTTACGCTTCACTCCGCTGAGATAATCCGCCGTTGACGTAGCGGCGGGCAGGGTGTCCTCGGCGGCGGTAGCCTCACCGTCATCGTCCGGTTCGCACTGTGAGATGGTGCGCGTGCTGTCCCTGAGCGTGGTGGCTGAGGCGGTGGGCTCTGTGGCACCATCCACGACGACACTCTCCAGCTGGCCATTGGACTTGGCTTTGGCGGGCGATTGAGGACTGCGGCTAGTTGTGCGCTGATCTTTGGCATCCACCACAATGGTGGTGGGCGACGTTGATGGTGAGGTGGAGGCGGATGCAGAGGCGGGCATGGCAATGGCCGTCTCGTAGGTTCGTTTCCGCGTGGTCAGCGTCGAGGTGATCAGGGGCGTGGCTGGCGGGGAGGTAGGTGCCTGTGATGTGTTAATTGTGTTGTTGGTGTTGGCGAGTATCGATGAGGTGGCCATCGCAGCGAATGATTTGGAGCGGCAGTTTTAACGATTTCTCTAAAAACACTTGTGGGGAGAGGTCGGAGGAGGCGTTCACTGTTCTCTGTTGTGGGCGTATAGGCGGAGATTCACGTGCATCCAGCTGAAAGCAGAAGGTAAAAAAACGGTTAAAAGTCATTCAGGTAATTTGTTCTGCTGGCAGAACAACACGTGACGTCGCATTTCTCCCGTTGCTGCGCAATTGTAGCGGTAGCGGTAGCGGCACCGTGCACCATGGCCGAATCAATTTATTTTTAATTGCCAAACCGAATGATTTCGATTTGCCACGCGCGCATCGAACCACTGAAATTCCTTCGAAATCAGCAACAACAGAAATAAGTCACAAACTAGAGAAAGAACAACCACAAACGCATTATTAGCACGTACACTCAACCAGGCGGGGCAAAGAAGAAACGGCAACTAAAACAACGGCACTGTGAAAGCGCAGCAGCCGCTCGCTCGGGTGGGTGATAGGGAGAGGGAGATGGAACTAGTTCCGCCATTAGCGCATTAGCTGCACTTCATTTGCTGCTGCTTCTGCTGCTGCTGCTGCAATCTCTTATTTTACATAAACAAATCGAATTGGAAAGATTCGAATGGGAGTCAGACAAGGCAGACACGATGACCCAATCGGGGTGCCTGGACTCTCTCTTTCTCCGCTCCCATTAGTCAGCTGTTCACTGCGTGCTCCAAATTAATTTCGGCCATCCCATGGTATATTAAATAAATGGTAAGGCAGTCCATTTAGTTTATTTGTCACTATCTCTCACTGGCCTCCCACACAAACACATAGCTATGCGAATGTTAACATTTTTGAGGCACTGCCTCACTTTCTTATTAATATACCTTGAAGCCGTCAAACGATTTCCCGCACTTACTCATGTTTATTCAGCATTAAAAGACATATACCACATGCATATATTTATCTTTTGCCGCTTACGTCTGAATATTTCTTTGGCATTGAGGTGATCCTATTACGTCAGAGATGTTTCAGGTGCAGTAGTAGTAGTAGTAGTATTCCTTTCTTATCTGGAAACCAACATGCCGTTTGATGATAAGCCAAAATCCATCAGAGGCCCCAAATGGCTGTTTCTTGGAATCGTACTTTTGCCCGCTCAAGGTCTGACTTAGCTCTGATTCACTTGGAACCAGCTTCGCGACAGTTCAAGTTTAGCTCTTCGCTTAGGACCGCGAGAGACAGAGAGGAGAGAGGTCTGTGTGCTCTGATGTAAGCTTTATTTTAACCATCGAAAAATACGAGCATGTACAAACATGTTAATTCTGTTGCCAGGCAAAAAGAAAAGTGCTGGGCAATCTTTAGCTGCGATCAACGTCACCAAGGCAGAGGAGTTGAGTCGTACGATCGAGCCACTTGTCGGCAGAGCAGAGGAAAGGTGAATCAAACGTAAACAAACCAAAAAGAGAGAAAGCGATGAGTGTGCGTGGGTGGGTGAGTTGGTAGGGTGGATGGATGGATGTGTTAGACCAGCAAAAACGATTTGCAAATTGACAGGCGGTATGTATGCACTAAAGCAAGCGAGCGATAAGATTGTTACTGTTATTCTTAACTTATCTGGGAACGGGACTTCCGCTGCACTCGCAACGGGGGAGGGACAAATGGGTCTGATAGGAACACGATAAATGGAATTTAGCGGAAACCGTCCATGTGTTTCTATAGACACAGGCTGTTTGATAAGAATCGTAGAACACTCTCAAACACCACCTAACACCCCCCCCCCCCCCTCCCCCCCCTCACCAAATGGTTGGAGGCTTTCAGCCGGATCTGGCAAGTATGGCGAAATTCGAGGTAAACCAAAGTTCATTATAAACACGCGCTCTCCAGCTAGGGCTCAGGTTAAGCCCCCCCCAACGTGGCATACTAACAGGCCAAAGAACTCTGGAGAATCTCAGAGAACAGCAAAAAAAAATGTTTAGTTGGCATTTTGTTGGAGTTTGCCTTTTGCCTGCTCGTTGGCCTCGTTGGCGTTGGCCAAAAACAATAGATTGAAAGTACAGTCCAGTCCAGCAAGTTGAATCTTCCCTCCTCCTCCAACTGCTGCTCTGTTCCGATCTCTACGCGCTTCGAGTGTTTTCCCCCATTGATGATAAGCCCCCACTCTCTGGACTATGTATAGAATGAACATGGGTTGGATGAATATATTTTTGCATTGATAACCTTCGGCTGGCTGGTGGGCATTATTATCAATGATGAGTATGCACTCCAAAAAAGATTGGTTGACGTCAACTGTGATTTGGATGCTGCTCGAAGTACGTGAGAATATGGGCGAAATATCCACAGGAAATGGGAACGTTAAGTATGCACGTTTGTCCAAAATTTTTTCAGTAATGGTCTGGTAATTATATTTCATACCGGTGGTCCCCGCATGTCCATAGACAGATAATCTTATCGAACACTTTAATTGTACCATCATCTCTTTGCACTTTGATTAGGAACGCACACATACACATGCCGCCTCTCTTTCGCACAACACGCATTCGCTCTCTCCACGTAAAAGCTTCTCCTACGCATGAATGATATACAAATTTCATTGAGTAGAGCTGAAACAGCTGACTGATTGTGCGTGTGATCACCCCCAATCGCTCTCTGTCTCTCCTTCCTTCACTCTATTATGTTTCATACACTGCACACACTCACACACACACCCGCCGACCCAGTGGTGTTTCTACGGTAAAATATAATCGTCGCTTGGGAAAGTGGAGCACGAGCACAGTGTTTGGCAGCCATGCCATGACTAATGCTTGCCCCATTCTTTCGCAAGTGTGAAAAAAGGTAAGGTTTATTATTAACCCCCATTATGATGGTGGTCTGTTGATGATGCCACTGCCACCAGGGAAATCGTACGATCGCAGTGCAAAGTTCGGTGAGTGGTGGTGACGCGTCAGCGTGATGTGTGGAAGGGAAAGGAAAGGAAACGGAATGACGGTGGGGACGGGACGACGACGTTGCAAGCTACAAACAAAAATCATACGACCGACAAAGCAGCGCCAATGGTGGCGGTGAATTTTCATCAGGGGAAGAGTGACGTGGCGGGCAGTGAGTGGCGTCGTCTTGCCGGCTGCGAAACAAAATCGATAAGGGTCAGCAGCAGCTGTTTGGGGGAGGGAATAAACAGAGAAACGTCTACGACGAGACGATTATGTAAACAAGCCTTGAAGGCTGGCGGGTGCACGGGTAAAGCTCATCGCGATCCAATCCAAATCCCAGACGCACATTGCGAAGAAACCAAGAATAATCTCCAAGCGAGCTGACATTTCGGGCGCAGAGAGCGAAGAAAGCGAGAGAGACAGAGAGACCGAGAGAGTGAAATCGCTCACGTCACAGGAGCATGGGCATGTCGTCAGCACAGTTTAAATATTTGTCTTGAAACATATTTTTGTCTTAACCGGATCCAATCCAATGAAATGTTTCGCTCGCAAAACTTACTTTCTTCCAAATTGTTTGTATATTTATTTGGCTAAAAATCAATTTGCGCTTTGGTTTTTCTATTGAACGCCCGGCCGGAATGACGCACCACGTATTTGTTTCACTGTTGTTACGTGTTACGTGTAGCACTTGATGATTAACTAGTTTATTTATTAGAGCTGTTTTGTTATTATATTGTTAATCAGCGTGACCGTGCGATAGAAAAATCCGGCCAATCTGGAGAAATACCGATTAAATACCATACCATAAAAAAAAACCAGGGCCAACTTAACACCCCTCTATTCGAAAAGAGGAGCACCCTCTGTTAAACCCCAGGAAACAATACTGTTTGTGAAGGCTCCTTGTAGCCCCATCCTCCTCTTTACTTACAAAACAAAAATGACCACTGATATCTTTAATCCGTAATGCGTAAAATATGTTAAAGTTACACAAATTTCGTGGAAATATTAAATACCGCACTGGTCGACAATGGGCTAACGTTATATTTTTTGGATTGAAATCGTATTCCATGATTTTCATATTAAGTCTAATAATACTAGCTAGTTGGCCCTTTCAGCCCTAAAAAAAATAGTTTTATCCGATAGATACATCAATTTTCTACAAAATTGGGTAGTTTTCAGATATCCTTTTTATTGCATTGTTTAAATAAAAAGGTTCAAACAACAACGGCCAAGGCATAAAACGTAAATGTTGAATAAATGTGACGTCATTGTTGCTGGTCAACCAAGTTTCTTCTATGCGTATGTACTTTTGTATACCTTATTTCCTTTAATTGATGTTAAATTTGTTGTTCCAAGCTCCATTGAAACATTAATGATGATATGATCCTAGATTGACATGTTTTTAACCTATTAATGCATATGTTTTGTGTTTTGAAAATACATTTATCCCGGTTCTGATACCTATTATTGGTACCCGCGAGCTGCAAAATTTCGTTAATATCTTGAAAACAGACACTGAGTAGTTTCTGCATTATTTGGAGCCTGAAATTACAATTTCTCAATTCCATAATATTCATTTTCCAAAGGTATTCAAATTTGTTGCTCATTTCGTGACAAAGTTGCACAACAAGTTGCCTATTCATTTCCCCATGTTGCTGAAATTTTTCCCATATATTTTCATACTGCCGACCCTCAGAAATATACCAAAGACCTGTGCGGTCACCCTGGAAGTTCAGACCGATGTCAGTGTTGTGAAATATATTTCGATCAGATTGCATTCTAAAATTGTTTGTTGATAACGCGAATAAGTATGTGGAAATACGGACAGAATCAGGGCAACCAGGGACCTGCAGGCGGAGGTGGCATGCAACACGGCTTATGTCTTATGGAATGTTGATTCATCAATTGGATGAAACTATGGCACGTCTGGATCGGAAGAGAAATGGCGGAATTACAGAAATTACAGAATCCGTAATCCTTGATGCCAAATTGATTGAAAACGATTGGGGCAGTTCTCCTGATCACGAAAGGCAAATCATGCCCAAATCGGTCGTCAAAAAATACTTATTTTTTCTTCCCTACGCTATATCTCGGCCAAATAGGGGCAGATCCTTGAAGGACCAACTTTTTCCGAATCGTAAGGATCCAGACTGTCGATCGGCATCAAATAAATGACATTCAAGGAATACTGGTTTTCGGGAAAAGCATGATGTAATATCATGATCATCACAAACACTAATAAGAAAATGCACAGACTAAATAATGAATTAAATATATAAAAAACAGTCCACAAAACGGCGACATTTTGCTTAATATTAAACAGAGAATTGGACAACTTAAGAGTAGATACAAATACGATTGTACGATACGAACATTTAAAGAGCAGGACCTGGGAAGAAACATACATTCATACGACACGGGGCTCGGATTCAAAAAAGAGTGCAGTAGTAAATGCTTTACGGTGATCAAATAGGAATATACATATATACTATATATGAATAGGTGTAGGAATATAGCTAGGGGAAATTGCACATTGGGGGCCATGGACATGGACGGGCCGCGGGTTACGCCTGTGGCAGGTTCTGATAGTAGTTGGCCAGAATTTTCCAAGCTTCAGCCTCCATGAAGCCAACGGGCGGACTGGCACCGGTCTTGGCCAGCGTGCGCATCTTGGTCCCCGATATAAACTCGAACTCGTCCTTGCGCTGGGGCTCAAAGAAAGCCATCCGGCTGGCACTGTTGTCGTATGCAGCCACGCGGAATGGCAGGATCTGAATAAAAAAAAAAAATAGAGAAGCAGTGATTATAGTGTTCACTTCAGTTTCAGTTTTAGACAGCTATCGCTACACACCTCCATGCTGTCCAGACCCTGGGCCATCTTCAATACCCGCGCTCCATGGGTGGCATCGTACAGATTACCGTCGGGATAGGCCCCCTTATCCGGATGCGGCATGCCGGCTGGATCGCGGCCCACAATGTAGAAGTTGGCGCCAGCATTCATGCGGGCCTTGGCATGCCACTGCACTTCCGTGGGGCCGGCGTACATCATGGGCGATGGAAAGATGGCCAGCACAGTGTCCTCGCGCCGCAGGACGCCGGCATCGAGGACGGCCTGGTGCTGCCTCATGCGTACGTCCAGGGGCACATCATCGTCCTTGGTCCAGCCGCCCAACGGATGCAGCAGCAGGACTGGCTGCTTGAAGCCCCGCTCGAGCAGCTGCCTCTTCGTGTCCTGCATGAGCAGAGCGTGACCGTTGTGAATGGGATTCCGCAGCTGGAAGGCGAAGATTGCATCGGCGTTGAGCTCCTTGAACTTGCGGCGCAGCTCGTTGGGCGTCAGACGGTACTGGTCGAGTCCATCGTCCCAGCGGATGCGTTCGATTACGGCCAGATCGCCGCCCACAAGATACTCGCCGGACTCGAGCACCTGCTTGCTGTACGGATGGTTGGGATTGCTGGTGCCGAACTGGCGGGCCAAGCGCTCCTCCTTGCGCTGGTAGTAGAACTCTGGACGGCGTAGAATGGCCACTGGCCTACCCTCATGCGTCAGCGTCAGGGCGGACAAACCGTCCAGGCGCTCCTTGTCTGCTGCCGTGGCGCTGAGCACAATGGGCACCGAGTGATTCTCGCGGTAAGAGCCGTCCATTCCACTCTGGAGTGTGTTGAAGTGCAGCGTCTGCAGGTACTCGTCCTCCCGCATAAATCCGCGCAGTGGATAGGCCCATCCCTCCGACAGCACCTGCACCCACTGCAGCTCCACGGTGCTGATGGCCAATGCCTGCAGAGACTCCGCCTCGTGGCGCAGTGCGTCGCTGGCAATGGACTCGCTGGGGTACAGCTCCGGCAGTAGATCCACGTCACGCAACGAACGCGGAATGATGCCCTCCTGCTCGAGCAGCGTCACCAGCTTCCGCGTGGACTCCTGCACTGTGCACTCGTGGGTGCTGACCACCAGTTCCGGCTTGTGGGGCTTCTCGTACTCCTGCGTTATGCCCGTGAAGCCCTTAATGACGCCCTCGCGTGCCTTCTTGTACAGCCCCTTGACGTCGCGCGTCTCGCACACGTCCAGCGGTGTGTCCACGAAGATCTCATAAAACTTAAGCCCCGCATCCTTGTGAATCTTGCGCGCCATCTCCCGGTCGTCGGCGAACGGCGACACGAAGCTGCAAATGGAGACCACACCGCTGTCGGCAAACAACTTGGCCACCTCGCCCACCCGCCGGATGTTCTCCTCGCGATCGGCGGGCGTGAAGCCCAGGTTCTTGTTCAGTCCGGTGCGTATGTTGTCCCCGTCCAGGCCGTAGGCGGGTATGCCACGCGACACCAAATACGCCTCCAGCTCAAAGGCAATCGAGGTCTTGCCAGCGCCACTGAGACCTGACGAAGGGAATACGCTTTAGCGCCCAACTTCTCTGACCTAAAGGCAGGACTCACCTGTCAGCCAGACGGTGCATCCACGAAAGCCGCGGCACAGGCCCAAATTCTTGCCGCGTGTCTCACGGGTGACATGGTGTTTCTGTTCGGTCACATTCGTCGCCACTTGAAGGCACTGCAAAACAAACAAAGAAAAACAAAGGTAGAATCTGAGAGCTTAGCTTTCCAAATTATCATAAATTAATATTCATGTCAAGATGGCGATAGCGATAGCGATGGCTATGCCTCAGGCTGTTGCCATAGTCAAAGTCAGAGTCAGAGGCAAACGCAGAGCAGAGTCATCAAAATGCTTCGCGCTTTGACCCTAGGGCGATCGATCTGAAAGCTTTGCTATTGCTGTTGCTCCATCGCTCAGTTTGTTGACCTTTCGCAGAAGCTCGTGTCTGCAGAATCGCGAATGGAATAAAGAGGTTCGCGCGGATATGTCAGTTAGGTCTGGTATCTCAATATGAAATATGGTACATACACAATGATCAGGCGAGTGAAGGTTTGGCATAAAACTGACGATAAAAAGGGGGCGACAACTCCTCTAGTGGTATTTTGCGCTCCATTACATAGCTGATTTCTGCATTCTCCCCTGAATTCACTTTGTATTAATTATAAGTAGATGTGGCTGGTAGATTGTGTGGCAGTCTGTCACATTTATTTCTACTTCATTGCCTCTGCTCGGTCTCTAATCTTACTGCTTCTCATCCTTACCCTTCTTTTGATATGGGGATAAAATCCAATGGGAGGATTCGGCATTGCTTTCTGTTTGCTTAATTTTCACTTCACTATATTTATTTCGGATCGTTTCGGCTTGGCAAATGTTTTACATTGAGCAACTGATAGCAGCGCGAAGTCTTCGATCACAATGGATGGGAAATGGAACTGAAACTGAACTGAAACTGAAGATCTCCGTCATAGACAACGCGTTGTCGGAGCGTTGAAAGCGAACTGAAAGTTTTCCATAATATTTACGGGTTAAATATGGCGCAATCTGCCGCTGAAGGTAGCAGCAGAAGATTGTCAGAGAGAGAGAGAGAGGAGAGAGATAAAGAGAGGGATCCGGATCAACATCCACGCACGCATCATTGGGATTCTCCGACTCCAGATGGGGGAATGGGAAAAATGTTTGCACAGTCTTTCTGCTGGGTTTCGTTCTTTCCTTTTCTCTTTCTGTTCTTTAGCTTAAAATTTTTTTTATAATTTCTTAGGTTCTGGAAATACAGACATATTTACATACGTAGCACGCTCCCCCAACGATCTGTTCTTAGCGAGCCCCCAAGGCGAACCGAAGAAGGGATCCAACGATTATTTTATATTCTCTCCAGCATTCCAGCATGATCTTACCTCATCGCTCGGCTTTCTTTCATCGTTCGAGAGCCAGCAACACTCTGGGGAACTGGCACACGGAATGTTATTGTTATTATAGTGGCCAAGTGAATTGGCACATTGGGTAAACATTTTCCACACCAAAAAATATACTCGTGTCGTACTTGGGGCAGGTGAAAAGAAAGCTAGCGAGCGGAGCGGAGCGGACCAACTACGCCTATACGCCCATATACTTGTATATGTACGAATAACACTCTGATAAGCGGGCAAGTGAGAGTTGTTGTCGCGTCGTCCGCGGTCTAAAGAGCTGCTGAACTTTCTCGCCGAAGCTCAAAACTGCAACTGAAATTCCAGGGGCCTACAGCAAAGAAAACAGAGACGCAACGTCGGGATGGGAGGGGCACAGTGGATAAAGCTATGGCTATGACTACATATAGTACAAGAACTTGTTTATGGCAGGTGTTTAATTATTCCTAGTGATAGTATTTTTTTTTCCAAATGCTCGCACCAGCTAAGTACATACACAGATCTTGTGTTGTTGTTGAAGAATATCTGGCCATAACCCAGATCTAATTCCTAAAAATTTTGAATGAAAACTACTATACTTTTAGTTCTTGAGTGTAGTTCTTGAGTGCTTAGACCGCTGATGCCGAAGGGGCTCAGGATGAGTCTGCCTGTCTATTAATTATCTTAATGCAATAAACATTACTTTGCTTTTCGACTTAGGGGTAAGATAATTAGTATTTGCGTTGCATAACGCTGTTTTGCATCACCTGTCGTTAAAGTCATGTTGTTGGATAATGCTTTAGCTTTACCCATGATATAAACAATTACAATTAAAACCAATTGTTCAACATGGATGGATGGAGCAGGCAGTCCACAATGGCCGCCATTCATGAGAACTCAGTGAAAATTACACGTCATGCAAATACGAGTACGGGGACGAGCTACCGAAAATTGATGATCCATTTATGGGCTTAAATAGGCTGTGACTGATGCCGGGCTGTTTACCAATTTTTAAGCTAGACAGCAGAATAAAACTGGCCAAGTCCAGCTCCAACTTCTCCTCTAACACTCAAGAGTTAAGCTGCGCTGGGACGGGACGGGACCCCCCCATACTTGCAGACTGTAGTTGGGTTTCTTTGCAAGAGAGACTTTCTTTCTAAGTGGGAACCGAACCTGTTTCAGCCAAAGTGCACGAGTATAAACACTTGTAACGTCAACCAGTTGTTGGTACGGAAATAGTTGCACGTTGCATAAGATACATTTCATATAAAAAGAGCGTTAACCTTTCTTTATGTGCGAACAACGTAACACAACATTCCGTACCAATTTCCTATTTGATATTTTTAATTTTCCCCTACAAAACAACAAGAGAAGAGAGCGCCAGTTAATGGATTTATTGTTTAACCTTCAAGTAGAAGATATCCAAACAACCATGAGCGAAGTCTGACAATTCCCCGTAGATTCGGCATTAAATCTGCAATTCCTGATCTGCCAATTCGTTACAGTATGTTCCATGTTCCAGCGCAAGCAAATGAATTCGAAACAGAAAAGAACGCATTTGGAAGGGAGCCGCATTCTTTGGTCTACACGTGTCGCTGCACCAGCACTGCCAAAGTTTTTGCCAAATCAACAATTTTTGCATATTTTATCTGCAAGCCTGACTGTAAATAACCGGATGGGGAATTTGCAAAATATTAATCCGTTTTTGAATTCTTATCAATTGCTTGCATTCATATGTAAATATATATGTACTATGTACATACATATATATGTATGTTTTGCGGATCGTGCCAATTTGATGCGTCTGTGTAGTCATGTAGCCAAACCCTAATTGTGTCATCGTAATCATAGAAGAGATAAGATAAGGGGCGTTCGTGGAATGCTAAAAGTGAGTATTACCAAATATTATAAAAATATATATTCTACATGCGTTTGTACGAGGATTGGCTTTGTTCGGAATGAACCAATTGGTAATACGCTACAAGTTTGGAGTATGCCAAGTACAGACAAGTATATAGGACGTGAAGAGAATTGAGCAAACATCTAAACAGCTGTTCAGACAGGGACCCACCTAAGCCCCACATATCCCAAATCCAACTGTACTGTACGGTACGCCACAAGACCCAACCCACGTCAGTTGCAGTTCTTTTTCATCTTTGAAACAATTGTATAAACACACCACAGAGAGATGTCTGATGGCTTTCTTTCCTTCGTTTTGGGGCCACGGCCACCTTCTCTGCCACGTTTTACGGCTCTCTTCCCACTTACCGTCTTCTGACGCTTTTTACTGGTCTCCGGCTTTTCACTCATAACTGGAACGTTTGACACACTAAATCCGTTTTGCTTTACAATCAATGGTAAGTGGTAAACACTGCGAGACAGCTACGCTACTAGTAGATTAGGATTGGAGTTCGACCTCAATCGATGAATGAAATGCTTCACCCACGCGGAACCGGTGCTGTGCAGGGGCTTCTACATATATACTTGTCTCGCTCAAGCTGGACTATTGCAATTATTAACTTTGAATTTTACTCTTATTACAAAAAATTTGTTAAATATCACACAAAACACACAAATTTAATGGCACACACACACACACACACAATCAGACACACTATGGATACATTAGCGGTCGGTCAGCTGTTTTACCAATTGCTAGAGATGGGTTATCAGCGATAAGTTAACTATCGAAATAACAATTGTTAACAATTTACTAGAAATATTTGAATTAAATATTATCTATTGCCAATTTTGTATGCACATTTAAAATTGTTGAATTTCTTCATTTTCAACCCGAAACTGTTGTGGAAAATGTTTTAAATGTTTTGTATGTTTATTGCAAATTCATAAATATTTGTTAGGAGTAGGGGGGTGGGGGGGTCTTACAAAAACTAAGGTGTGGTGTGTCTACGATCTAATAGGGTGGCGGTTGGTGCTGATATTGCTGCTGCTGACCCATCATGTTCTGTCGGTTCAGCTGCGCCACCAGATTGGGCGTTTGTTGTTGGTTCATGCTCTGCTGCTGCTGCACCATGCCTCCTCCTCCCCCTCCACCAACTCCAGCCACGCTGGCCTGCTGTGGTCCGGCACCCATTCCACCACCCCCGCCCCCACCCATGCCCTGCATCTGCATCATCTGCTGATGCCGCAGCTGCTGCTGTTGCTGCTGCTGCTGCTGGAATTGTTGCTGTGTGTTGAGGACACCTGGCTTGCCGCCTCCCGCTGGCTGCTGTCGGGCATATGGCGGCACCTGGCCAACTCCCACACCGACACCCACGCCGCCCGGCCCGGGACCCATCATGTTGGACATAGTGACGTTGGGTGCCTGGTTAATGTACTGACCCCGGTTGCCAGTCATCATTCCGCCGGGAACGCCACGTTGCTGCTGTTGCTGTTGTTGTTGTTGCTGAGCTGCTGCCGCCGTCATAAAGTCAGGATTGTTGCGATTCGCTTGCTGCATTTGCGGATTGAAGTTGCCCATCATGTTGGCTTGCTGCTGTTGCTGCTGATTGGGCGCCATGCCGACGCCGACGCCCACGCCCACGCCCACTCCAACGCCTCCTTGTTGTTGCATTCCCTGCTGCTGTTGTTGCTGCTGTTGTTGTTGCTGCTGCTGATATTGATTCTGGAAGTTCTGGAACTGCACCTGCTGTTGAGGCTGCTGTTGTGCCTGCTGCTGCATCATGCCTTGCTGTGGCATACCACCCATGCCCATGTTGGGATTGGCTCCTCCAGTCGTAACCCCGACTCCCACTCCCACGCCGACGCCGACGCCAACGCCAACTCCTACTCCGTTGCCTCCCTGCGCACCACCAGTTTGCATCATTTGATTGGCATTCGGATTTACCATGCCCACCATTCCCTGGGTCATCTGTTGCTGCATCATTGAGTTCTGCGGTATGCCCTGGCCGCCCATATTCATTGGGTTCATCTGATTGGGGGCCATGCCAGGACGCATGTTTCCACCCCTCATGAACTGCTGCTGCTGCTGCTGGTTGGGGTTCATCTGCTGCTGCTGCTGGGCATTTTGCTGCTGCTGCTGCTGCATGGCATTGAAGGCAGCCACAGACTGCGGATTCTGCTGGCCAGTCATCTGCTGTTGCCGCATCTGGTTGGGATTCATTTGCTGCTGCTGTGGACCGGGCTGTTGCTGGGCTTGCGGCTGCTGCTGTTGCATTGGATTAAAGCCGCCACCCGGTTGCTGTTGCTGCTGATGCTGGAAGGGTTGTCGCTGACGCAGCATCTGGGACAGGGCCTGTTTGGAGTTGGCATTCTGAGAAGGTCTCTCGATGCGATTCGCTAAAATGATTCCATAGGTAATTGGGATTCTCGTTCCCAGTGATCCTCTACTTACATTGCATATTCTGCTGGTGGGGCGCATAGTGATTGTGATACTGTTGCGGTGGTTGCTGCTGCTGGGGGGCATTGTGCCATTGTTGCTGCTGTTGCTGGCCCGGCAATCCTTGCGGACCGGCAGCCCCGCCACCGGGTCCCTGCTGCATGAAGTTCATCTGGGGATTCTGCTGTCCGTTGCCACCCCCAACGTTTAGTTGCTGCTGCAGCTGATTGGTGCCCATTTGTTGCATTTGCTGCTGCTGCTGCATCAGCGCACTCTGCTGCATCATGTTGGGATTGGGTCCAAACTGCTGCATGTTCATCTGTCCAGGAGGGGACCGCATTTAGATTTTTTTTAGCCTTAGAGCGATCTACAGGTACTTCTTACCGGCATGTTCATCTGCATTCCCATCTGGTTTGGCTGCATCTGCTGCTGTTGCATGTGCTGCTGTTGCTGTTGCATTTGCTGTTGCTGCTGCTGCTGCACATTCGGTGGCTGCTGCGGCTGGGGAGCCAGCTGGGGCTGCTGTTGCTGTGTATTGACTACCGGCGGGGTCTTTGGGTTCTTCGGCTTGCGTTTCCGCGTTGTCGTCCCCTTGCCGCGGCCACGGCCAGTGCCTACCACAGCACTGGGCGACTGGTCTACAGAGGAAGGCGTGTCGGCCTTCATCATTTCGTCCTTCTGAAGGTTAGAAACGATAGGCGTCACCAAAGGACTGTGTGGTGGCCACTGTCCCATTGTTTTTTCACTTACTATGCAAATCTTCTCCGGCACCGGCTCAATGTCCTCGGGCGGCAGTGGCAGCGGCTCGTAGTAGTAGCTACTCGGCTTGACCAGGCTGTGCGTGTGGTATTTGAGATTGCGATGAGCCTCCTCGTAGGTGAGCGGCTTTCTCTCCAGCTTGACAGCTCCGAACCAGACCCAGGAGAGCGGAGCCGGGTTCTTGTGGCCCTCGAGGATGTCCCACACGCTGATCCGCTGCTTGTCCGATATCCTCAGCTGTTTCTTTTCCATGTCGCAGATTTTGTTGCCCTTGGTATCCATGCCAGCATGCTCGCAGGCAATCACCTAGAAAGCCACATGAATGGGGTTGGCCCAGCCCATTAATATCCATTTCAAGATTTCCAAACAGAACTGCTTCCGGAGATGATGAAGCACTCACTACTCACCTCTGTGGGCTGCTTGTAGAGTGGCAGCAGCTGCCGTATCACTCGGATGGAGGCATTGTTCTTCTCGCCGATCTCCTTCTTGAGCTTCTTCATCAGATTCAGATAGAGTTTCTTGTTCTCATCGCGCTCCGACTGGCTGTCGGAGACCAAAGTCGAGTGCACCAGGGTGGCCAGCATGTCCACGACGGTGGTGAAGAGCTCCCGGTTGCAGCTGAGATCCACCACACCCTGGCACACCAGTTGGGCCAGGAGAATGGCCCAGTCCGTGGTGGGGGTGCTGTTCTTTTGGATGGCCTCGAACATGCCACCCACCAGGGAGAAGCGCAGCTGCAGTGCATCCAAGATCTCCTCACGTGCCTGCGGCTCATCGGTGCCCCCGATTGTGTCCAGCTGCAACGAATGCAAGGAGCATCGTTAGGTATCGCCATCGAAGAAGGTTTCAGTGAGGGACAATGAGGGACTTACCTCAGCAAAGGATTGCAGGCACTGGGAGAGCTGCGAGTAGAGCGAGACGAGCAGGTTCTCCTTGTACTCATCCTGACCCTTCAGGCAGGTGAGGATTAGGCCCAGGAACGGCTGGTAGTTGAGCGGCATCTTTTTGTTGCGAGCGGCCACACCGCCAATGCCATAGCTGTTGCTGCTGTGGCAGCTGTTGCTCTTCTCCCGCTCATCCCCGCTGCCCGAGCTGTTGCAGTCTGATTTGGGGACTTTGGAGAAGTAGTTCATGCTCTCAAGCACCTGTCCCGCCACGCGCAGGATTCTTCCTTGTACGGCCGGGGTCAGCTTGGCAATAAGTGGGGCCACCAGCCAGGTGGACGGCTTGGGCTTGTGCGTGGCCTTCAGGGATCCCGGCAGGATGGCCTCCTCCATGTGAAAAACATCGATGGCCGCTCGCGCAACCGTGTCCAGCCAAGCATTGAGCTCCGCATTGTTGCCCATCGACTGGCGGTACATCAGCTGCAGATCCAGCCAAGAAATACGCAGTGTCCACTGGCCCAGGTTCTCCAGTATCCTCACGATCATCGCCCGCTGATCTAGCTCGGAAATAATGTTGAATTCCGCCTCCGGGTAGCAGATCATGTGCAGCACGCGCTGCGCCTGCTTGGCTGTCAGCATCTCGTCGATGATCATGTCGCACAGCCCCTCGGCATTCTTCAGGCACCGTTCCAGCACGTGCTCCTGGGCGCAGATCTGTTTGAGCACGGCCTGAGCGAATTCGAGCAGTGAGATCTGCTCTAGCCCGCCACCGGACGGCTGCTGCAGTGCCTCCTGCTCGCTGGTGAGACTGTTGCCCAGCTGGAGATCGCTGGTACCCAGGATCTGGCTGAGATCGGCCGGTCGCTGCTCGTTGCTCTTGGGCGTACTACCCGGATGAACGGGTGTGTTGAAACCGCTGCGCTTGCCACTGCCAAAGGCACCGCCCACGCCGCCCGACGACGAGGAGGAGCCACTCCCCCCAGCCATGGACGTCTTCAGTGCCGCATTGTCCACGACTATCAGGATCGCCTTGAGCACTGCCAGCACAGCGGCAATGGGAATGGTCTTGTGTGCCCCGACCAGCAGATGCCGATCGCAGCTGAGACGTATGCTGAAGTCGCTACCGACGGCATGGAGGGGATTGGGCGATGTGCTCACCGAATACATCCCCGGCTGCGGTATCTCCAGGGTCTTGAAAAGCTTCAGCACCAGGTGACAGGTGAGACGAGCTCCCGCCTCGGCGTCCACGCTCATTTCTCCACCGCCGGCACTCACCGATCGTGCTAGGGTTGGCAGGGCGAATTTGCTGACGAAATCGGCCAGGGAGAAGCAATGGCGGGCGACCAGGATGCACACGAACACGGCCAACGCATTGTGGGTCTTGCCCTGGCCAATATCTACCTGGCCGCCCAGATGCGGGTACCGGGGGCTCTTGCTGCCGCTGCACAGGCTCTGCAGGGCTGCGATCCACTCCTCGGAAAGGACATTGCAGCTGGCGGTAAGTTCGGCACAGGCCAGGGCCACATCGTTCAGCCGCTCATTGTCCGTCTCGCGGCAGACGGCAATCACGGCATTCGATACGAAGCTGTACACATTCGCAGACGACTCGTGCAACTGTCGGAGCCACTGCGGTTCCAGTTTGCCACCACGACGTGGGGCCACAAACAGCTCCTGCAGCAGCTGGGGATTGTAGCCTTGGGGTGGCAGGCTTTTGAAAGCAAACAAATAAGTGTATCAGTTGGACAGGTGATTGGCAGATTGCGCCGATTCGCACTTACCTGAGCTGCTCGGGGGTGTTGAAGATGTCCTTGAACCGCTTGATGCACTGCAGCTGCTGGTAATACTCGGTGGACTGTTCCTTGCCCTGCAGCAGGACGCAGGACTCGTGCAGATCGCTGAGATAGGCGAGGATGCAGCGCTCCGCAGAGCTGCACTCGCTGGGGTTGTTCACGTGGCGAATGGTGCGACAGACGCCCTCGAACACCGACAGCGTCTGCTCGGGGGAGAGGAGCAGGCAACTGTGGTAGCGTCGCAGAATGCTCACGATGTACAGGGCCAGGGAGGTGGTGTAGCCGCGCACCATATTGGACTTCTTCAGCTGCAGCTGGTGCTCCACCTCGGGCAGCTCCTTGAGCAGATTGTCGCACAGCTCCAGCAGACTATAGATGTTGAGTGACAGCTCCATGAGATCGAATAGGAAGGCGACGTGCTCCTGCACCGGCAGATAGTTGTTGTTGCCGAGGGCGAATCCGTTGAGCTGCTCCAACACGTTGGCCGCGCACTGGGCGGTGACCACGTGCTGGTCAAAGTAGGCCATCTGCTGGCACTTGGCCGTGGTGGCCTCAAAGTTGAATTCATTGCGCGAATGCTTCTTTACCTTGCCGCCCTCGGCCACGTCGATGCTGAACTTCTTGGTGAAGAGTTTTCCGATCTCCTTGGACATCTTCTTCACCGCGTGCTTCTTCTCGTCGCGCTCCTTTCCCACGCCGAACAGAAGAATATACCGCTGGTTGCTCTCGCTGCTGTAGCTGGACTCGTCCTGTGGTATGGGAAAGTGCTTGGTGTACACGTAATGGCGGGAAATGCTGCCCCCTGCTCCACCCGCGCTGGTTTCCCCATCGCCTGGCGGTCCTATCTTGGGGCTATCGGGCGCATCGTGCTGCTGCCCCTTCTCCTTGATGTTCTGCACCAGCTTGTCCAGATCGTCGTCCACATTGGAGTCGTCGAACTCGCTGTGCTTAAAGTCGATGCCCCCGCCAAAGGGGTCGTCATCGAAGCCATGCGTCGTTGTCGCCTGGGTGGCTGCCGCCGCTGGCGAGCTTTTCGTGGCCGTTGTCGACGATTTGCTGGAAAGGACGGACTCCAGGCTCAGCAGATCGCCTCTGGAAATGAGCGTGTGCATATAGGCATTGTGCGAGAAGACATCGTGACGGATCAGGGCACTGAAGAGCTGGACCAGATTGGTGAATTCCGTACGCTGTTGCGCACTGCTCAAGTGATCGTCCAGCACGGGGGCATCATGGTCGAGGAAGTGCATCAGTACGTGCTGGAACACTGGCAGGCCATCAATTAGGCCGGCTCCCGAGGCCAGAGAGTCCTTATCCTCCTTGTCGCTAGACTGCTCGGCGGGCGTGCTGGTCACATCTATCTGACGCTTGTCCAGCAGATTGGCCACCACCATGGCCCGGTGTTCGCCCCAGCGCTGACTGGAGACGGCCCATTCGCATAGTATTCGCACCGTATCCTTGTCCTGTTTGGGCTCATACACGAAGCGTGGCTGTTGCTGAGGATCCTGCTGATCCTCGTCGCGTCCCCTGCTGGGGAAGATGTGCACGTAGAGCGTGTCAATGCTGTTGCACTGCTCCATACGATCGAAGCAGTGCGTGTCCAGGTGATCCAGAGTGGCCAGCACTTTGGTGTAGTGATTCTTGCCAGCACTGAGCCACTTGGAGGCGAACCACCGCTGCTCTGCATGTTGTGTGCGGAGCACAATCTCGGACTCGGCGGCTCGCAGCTGGCGGCGTATTTCCTGATTGGTGCGCGGACATCGCGAGGGCATGGGCAGCACGGAGGGGGCCAGCGGAAGATGATCCAGCGGACTGCCCACAAGCGAGGATGGAGCTCGATGCGCTGCTATGCCACTCCAGACTAGAGCCGTGGGGCATTCAATGGTGATGATCTGGAGAATGGTGCTCAGGTACAAGACAATGTCCCGATGATGCGGGCAACTCATCTGCTCCTGCAGAGCCAACTCAAAGGGATCGTGCTGCAGCTTGTTCTCTGCCACACCCACACCCACTCCTCCGTCGACATCCTTAATCCCCTGCTGCTCTACGGCCGCATTGAGGAGATGTGCCAGTTTTTTGGACACAATGTAGGCCATTTTTCGGCACAGTCTCTCCGACTGAACAAAGTCGTGCATGTACTGGAGGGCGAAGCTGAGCACAAGCTTCTTCAGCGGCTCGTCGAAGCTCGCCTGGGTGCGCATCTTGTCAAGCAAATCGAGTATCCAATTGAGGAACTCCTGGCGGTCCAGCAGCGACTCCTCGTACATGTATTTGCTCAGCTGGTGGCAGTACTTCCAGTACTTTAATGCATTTCGGCTGTCCTCAAACTGGCTGCCAATGCCAGATATGCTCGAGCCGGGCGGAACAGCTGCTCCCGCAGACGTGCTGCTGCCCACAGAGGAGCCACCCGGTCCGCTCGGACCCGAACCGACACCTCCGCCGAGGGCTCCAGATGGTGGTATGACACTGCCAGATCCTACTAATCCCCCGGCCGTGCTCTGCTGGCCATTGGCTGGACTGTGGATCGGCGGCAGGGGACTGGACATGCTCGGCACTGGAATCATATTCGATGTGGCACTTGGGGTCGTCGCATTGCCCCCGGAGCTGTTCACCGAGATGCCGTTGCTGTTACCCCCGGAGGTGTTGGACAGGCCAGCAGAGTGGCTGCCATTCGACGAGGCCTTGTCGTGCGCTGAAGCGATGGAGAAGATGCCATAAGTATACTAGATTCTATGTCCGGTATAGCCATGTACTTACTCTGCTGATAGTACTCCTGCAGCTTGGGCAGCAGCTCCTTCATGAACTTGATCATGTTGCCCGTCCACTCGGCAGCCGGGTCGTAGATGCTGCGCTTTTTGTTCTTCGACTCGGTGAAGCTAAGCGTGTAGGCGGCACTGAGCTTGATGAACCACGTAGCCCGCTGCATGTTCACCTGGTTTTCGCAGAGCGTTATGAATATTTCCTCCTTCTTGTTAAAGGATGGAGCGCGTTTGGCCAAACTGAGAAGCGGTTTGTTGCCAGCCAAGTCCTTGAACCAGGCGTCCACAATGCACTTGCGGCGGGGAGAGACTGGCCAGAAGTTGTCCTTGCAGTTGATCTGCTGTTTCTTGCGTCCCGTATCCGGCAGCGTCATCAGCTCCTCCTTTTTGGCCAGCACTCCACTGAAGAAGGCACTAACCCTGCTTGCGTTCACATTTGAGCTGTGCGCCGTGCCAAACTCGTCGGACAATGGCGGTGTTGTGGTGAAGCCATGTTTCACATTCGTGGGCGTCAGTTCGTCCTCGCGCTGCTTGGCATCCTGCGGATATATATCCGGTGGGCCAAGGCGTGTACGCTTGAGCGGACGCTTTTCCTGCAGCATTGAGAGCATATTGGCGGCTCTCTAATGCGTTTTTCACACGATTTTACCCAAAATTTTCTTTTTATGCACTCAAAAAGACAACCAATATTAGGGATGGGACTAAAGAAGAAAACTATACGCAGCACATATCGGTATGCTATCGCATTTTATGCTATCGTTTTGAGTCAGCTGTTTTAAATTGAATTAAAATAAATTTTTTATTATAAAATTTAGATAACATCGTTGTGCATTATTCACCTAATATCACTGAAGAGATAAAATCACAAAAAAGTTTAGAATAAAGATATTTTTGATTAATTTTTGGTAATGAAAAACGGAATAATTGTTGGACGAACGAAAGCCTTAAACAGCTTGACGATCGAATTCTGGTTCATCAATATAAAAATGATTGTTGCCAGTTATTCCTTCGCTGCACTCGAAGTTCAGAGAGAGCATCTTTATGGGATAATCTGACGGTAGCTATGAACGGAGAAGGGAAGGGGATTTTACTCTATAGAAACAGCATTCCCCATCGACTTGCACACTATGTACTTACTCTATCCATTATGTCGTGCCTGATGTCGGTGGCAGCTGCGTACAAGTGCAGAGGCTGGACTGCACGCTTGGCCAGACTCTCCAATGTTTCCAGGACAAAGGTATCTGTTATGCCTAGGCAGTAACAAATATTTAAATACCGAAGCTGTTCATTGTTGGCCACCAGAATCGACAGCTTCTGTTCACCAATTTCTCGGGCGCACTGAAAGGAGAGGCACTCCAGTTGGCCGAGTTTCGCCAAATGTTGTACGCAGTTATCGTGGCGGGGCTTGCAGACAAGCCATTTAAGCGATTTCAAGGCACTGATGTGTCGGGCCTGCTCCTCGTTGATCCAACGTTTGCGATGGAGTATGAGGAACTCCAATTGCGAAGAGCAGCTGCTGGCCAAAGCTTTGAAGAGGGGCTTTTTCAGCTCTTCCGGGCAGTATATTTGCAAGTACTTTAAATTGGAGAACTGCGACAGGGCTGTAAGATCGGCATCGCAGTCGTTGAACGATAGCTTCTCTAGCTGGCGACAAATCGAGGCCAAATATCTGAGAGAGCTGGTGGTCAGGAATCGCTTGGCGTTCCGCAGCTGAAGACTACGCAACAACCTCATGGGTTTGATCATTGCTGTGAACTCCGAGGCAGTTACCTCGTCGTACATCGAGAGCTCGACGAGATTTGTAAAGTGTACCACTTCTTGCACTGCCAACGGAAAAGGGAAAAGGATCCTATTATCATATCTAGCGTAAATGTTACTAGACTTCTTACACTCCCGACGCTCGAAACTTTCCAGGCCCAGACTGGTTATGTGTGGCAAGCGCATCTGCATGGCCTTTATCAAATCCTTGCTCGTGCTCTTGTAGTTGCGGACGTGCACTTTCCTCAGCGATGTGATTTTCAGCAGATACGGCTGTGTCCTGGCCACCGTCGCGTTGTTGATCGTTATACTCTCGAGTCGGTAGCAGTACTTGCTGATCATAGGCAGCAGTTGGAGCGGATGATCGTCGTCAAAGTACGATTGGATGCTCCTGATACTGCCACCGCACAGCCAAAGAAACGTTTGCCAATCTTCTAGGGTTCTCAGATTCGTCTCCCGGTCAATAACTTCGTGGAAATGATGGCGGTGCAGTTGGACAAAGGCGTCCCGAAAACACCTACAGCACCGAGCCAGGTGCAGCTGGTCCTCCAAGCTCAGAAACTTGAATATAAACAGTACACAGCTGCGATTCAGGTCAGAAAAGTTAGTAATACGAGCCATTATCTTGTTTTTGTCATCTTAATTGATGACATTTATTCACTTATTTGGTATTTTCGATACATTTCGTTACACCCCGTTGTCCAAAGCTGGCCTAAATTCGATACCAGTCGATACATATACCACATCTCTAGGAAAAATGCGAATGGCCATTGAAAGAAGAAGCTGTGAAAGGGAGGAATTTCAACAAATTACTAAGGAAAAAGGCAAGAAAACATACAAACGAGCTGTGTGTGTGCTTTGGCAAGTGCATAACTCTTTACCACACAAAGCCAAGAGTCACCAAAGCCAGCCTGCTGCAAGAAACACACAACAGGCAACACAGTCAACTAAAAAATATAAACAGCACAGTTTAGATGATGAGCAGCAGAACGGACACGGACGGTTCCTCAATCAGATTCAGCGATCACACACTGGACAAGGCCACCAAGGCCAAGGTGACGTTGGAGAACTACTACAGCAACTTGGTGACACAATACGGCGAGCGTAAGCAGCGCCTGGCTAAATTGGAGGCCCAGCTGAAGGACGAAAGTCTATCAGAGTCGCAACGTCAGGAGAAACGCTTACAGCATGCGCAAAAAGAGACGGAATATTTGCGTCTCAAGCGATTACGTCTGGGTGTCGAGGATTTCGAGGCGTTGAAAGTCATTGGACGCGGTGCATTCGGTGAGGTGCGATTGGTGCAAAAAAAGGACACGGGACATGTCTACGCCATGAAGGTGCTACGCAAAGCCGATATGCTCGAGAAAGAACAAGTGGCGCATGTACGGGCCGAGCGTGATGTTCTTGTGGAGGCCGATCATCAGTGGGTGGTCAAGATGTACTATAGTTTTCAGGTAAGTGGATCCCTGCAAAGCAAAAGCAGCCAGTACAACCAACAGTCAGGGAGAATACAAAATAATTGTATCCAACACGGCAGAAAATCAATAAACCAATACAAGTGCAGCTGGCAAAAGCAGCGCCTTGCTAATCATATGGTCTGCCTTTGTTTTTGTTCAGCTTCGTCTTCCTCTTCTTGATGAAAGCTCAAAGCCACAGGCGTACGTGCCTACAGTGTACCATACAAATTGAACTGCTTAAATGCACTCGTACTGTGGGTGTTGCCTTTCAAAAGGATTCACTGTACAAATTTATCTGTAAACAAATTTTGAGCTTAATTTTTTGTTGAATACAGGACCAGGTAAATTTATATTTGATAATGGAGTTCTTGCCTGGCGGGGACATGATGACGCTGTTGATGAAAAAGGACACACTATCCGAAGAGGGCACACAGTTCTATATCAGTGAGACGGCGCTGGCGATCGACTCGATACACAAACTCGGTTTCATACACAGGGACATCAAGCCGGACAATTTGCTGCTCGATGCGCGGGGGCATCTCAAGGTAAGCAAAGGCAGTGACCAAACCAGAGGCTACTTTAAAACTAAACCACTTTCTCATTTGTCAACCAGCTCTCCGATTTTGGACTATGCACTGGACTGAAGAAGTCGCATCGAACAGACTTTTATCGGGACTTGTCGCAAGCGAAACCATCAGATTTCATTGGCACCTGTGCAAGGTACGGCAACTACAACTGCAGCTGCCATTGGTTTCCATTTGAGTAATATATTTAATGGGCGCGAATATTTCCGATCCACTTGCAGTCCCATGGACTCGAAGCGGCGTGCCGAGTCGTGGAAACGAAATCGTCGTGCCCTTGCCTACAGCACAGTTGGAACGCCCGATTATATTGCACCCGAAGTATTTTTGCAGACTGGATATGGACCAGCCTGCGATTGGTGGTCACTGGGCGTCATCATGTACGAAATGCTAATGGGCTATCCACCCTTCTGCTCAGATAACCCGCAGGACACATACCGCAAGGTAATGAATTGGCGCGAGACCCTTATCTTTCCACCAGAAATCCCCATATCGGAGGAGGCAAAGGAGACGATCATCAAATTCTGCTGTGAGGCGGATCGCCGGTTGGGCTCACAGCGTGGACTGGAGGACCTGAAGTCGGTGCCCTTCTTTCGCGGCGTCGACTGGGAGCACATACGGGAGCGACCAGCGGCCATTCCCGTTGAGGTGCGCTCCATTGATGATACGTCCAATTTCGATGAATTTCCTGATGTCTCGCTGGAGATACGTAAGCTTGATCGCGCTCCTCCCGATTGAGGTTCTTGTGAGTGAACAATTCCATCTTATTTTCAGCATCAGCGCCTATACCGCAGGGCGGTGAAATTGCCAAGGATTGGGTCTTTATCAACTACACGTACAAGCGATTCGAGGTGCGAAATTTGGAGTGAAGCAGGACTCGTAGCTGGAGCAAGAGCAGAAGCAGTAGCATCTTCAAGGTTGCCGCACTTTGCCACCCATACTCGTATTTTCACCACCATAGCCGTCGTCGCCGTCTCTCTAACACCATCACCACCTAGAGCAAGAGCATTCTCCACGCAAAAAAAACACTTAATTTTCCTTTTTGAATATCTTACCTACATGTGTATTTAAATACTAGCTAACATTTGTGATTCCAAACGAAAAGAAAAGTGAACATAGCGAGATCTAACGATTGTGTGTTGTATGTAAAAATGTTTTGCTTAAAGCGCTACCTGCGCCACCCTCCTCCCCCACGCCACCCCACCCATCCGTGAGGCAGTGGGCATCTCTCAAATTAAGTTAAATACTATACTAATCCTCCCATGTCCTTCCATTGGATTGGCCTTGTTCACCCACAAGCCTAACCCGTTTAAACGTTGCGTTTCTAAACAAACAGCAAACAGCAAAAGTAGATGTTTGAGCCACTTAGGGACCCATTTGGCAATTCTTTATATATACCTATTATTTACATTAATTCGTTGGGCAGCAGCAAAATGCCCATCAACTTTTGATTTAGCCAATTGAGAAAATGTTATAAATTTTAGGCACGTTATTTATACATACGTACGTACATACATACGAGTATATGTTTTGTAACAGTTTCAAATGAAGCAAGCTCTTTATAACTATTAAAACACGACAAACATCTTTAAACAAAACAAAAGAAATGACAAACCAATCACACAAAATTAGTTACTAATGCCACCCAACACAAAAAACAGCAACAACCCATATATGTATATGTATCGGTTTCGTTCTATGTATCCAAAAACCAATAACAGACCCTAAGCGCCTCCGTAGACAGAAACAAACATGTGTATTTTAGACATTTTATTGTAGCTCTTTTCCTCCGGTGGAATTCGGTTCTTCTGCGTTCTATTTGTAGTTCGAGAGAACAAGTGAAAAATACCAAGTTACTGCTGGCGAAAATGCAAATCCAAAACGTAAATGTACGAATTATAATTCGAATTATATAGTACATAAATAGCAAAACACAAAACAAATCCAACCCAATCCCCGAGCAGTTGCGCAAAAGCAAACTTAAAGTAATTGATAAACATACAAGTTTTAAGAAATTATTTTTGGTAATAGAATACAATAATAATAAGCATAATGATAATATGGATAATAATGCAACACCAGCAAAATGATGAGCGCAATAATAATAAATGAAACATGTGCATAATAGTACCAACTAACAAGAAATCAACATTTTATGTGAGTCTCTCGTCAATCAGATTTCCTTAGTTTCTCGAAAATGTGGTACCAATAATTATCGGAACTGCTCGAAACCGCGACCGGATTGTTTAGATGATTTGGATGGTTTCTATTATAGCCAACAAATTCATTAAGTGTATTGAAATCATCATAATTAAGTAGTATAATCACATTCAGCTGACAAATGCCTCTTGTTAGTTCTGTTTTTACTGAAATATGACTCCCTTTCTTGGCATCGGTTACAGCATAGTGATCCCAGCTGATATTGTGGTAATCCATTCCCCTCGATTTAGAGGGTGTCATTATGTCGACAGACTTATAATTAATCTCGTATCCCATAATGCCGGTTCGCATACACATATCCATTCTATTATTCGATCGTATTGACCAACCAGGTTCGGTGCTTTGTATTGTTAGCCCAAACAGCTCGCTGTTAGGCTGAAATGAGTGGCCTAGATTTTTGGCAATATATGCGACAAATCACCATGGACAATTCCAGCTGTAATGGGTATCGTACCATGAGACAGGTATATCAGCCGCCTTACTGGCAATATTCATTGATAATCCCAGAATCTGGTGGTGGTTCAATCGATCCACTACTCTGCCTCTTGTTGCTCCCGTAGCTACGAAGTTTCCGGTTATGGTCGCCCACACATTATTCGAGCTGCAAACACTCCACAAACGATGTCGACATCCCATTCCGTTATGCATAAAAATGGTTTCTCCTAGCTCGGCCGCTGCCCAATTGGTCAATCCTAGCAAAAAACTTCCATATATCAAGGCTGAAGAGAAAATAATGGATTGTGAGTAGCATATAGACATACTTCCCGCCGGTCCCCTATCGTACACGCCACACGCCATCATTATTCTTACCGATGGGCTCAATGTGCTAAGTTTATACTGAGAAACGTACGTTATATTTTTTTCCGGAATTGGGCGGTGGGAATCATCTGTGGTGATACCGACAGATCCAAAGGCAAAATAGCCGAGCGGATCCGTGCGCCAGTGTTTGTGGTTCTCCAGAATCTCGGTTAGAGCTTCAGTCGATAAGCTTACTAAATCCAATAGTTCATGCTCGCCCATTTTAAGGGCATCTTTACTGTTAAAGGAATAAGGTGCGTAAATGAGATCACGCTCAATTGTCCCCTCTTGTTTTGTGAGATTTTTGGGACCCGAGCTGATGCCGTAGCCATTATATTTGCTTGTCGCCAAAACAGCACATTTCAGAAGCGTTTTGTTTAATTCCTCTTCGTTTGCAAGATATTGAGTCGCGTTTTGTAGAGCCATATTTACATCCCCTACCGTAATCTTACAAACCTTTTCGGATTCGGCACGTCCCAGGTAGGCATGGACCATCGCTGCAAAGTTATGCTCCCCCTCCCGCTTCGCCGAGATTCCACTGCAAATTGTATAGTCACAGTCGAAGCTCTTAATACAGTCATCCACAATCACTAGGCAGATGTATTCATATCCTCCTGGTATATATACCGTAGCGGCTCTGGGCATAAATTTGGCTTTAAGTTCCATATCTGAAGCGGCTCTAGTGCCGCCAGTGTTGATTAATGTCGTCTCTATTAGGACAGAATGGTTCCACCAACCCGTTGTGGTGAACGATAGAATGTATGCCATGAGCCACGAACAGCCCTGCCATCTGCAACTGACTGGAACGTAATTGACGGACATACTATGGATTATCTCTCCATTGACGTCTTTTATAGCAGAAGAGTCGTAATCAGAGGACATTATTGCTACATATTCGTTGAGTGTCCTTACGTACAGGGTGCTCGTACCCTCCTGGGTACCAATCTGAATACCTTCAGTTTTTCCACGGCTGGTATCCACACGGTCTTGCATGATTCCTTGTCAATTGTTGTGTTTACCGCAATCCTGTGAGCGCTATCTGATGCCTCTGCCAGCGTTTTCGGGTCAGTGGTTATGATATGAAGCATGTAAAGTCTAGCTATAACTGCTTCGTCTGCTGCAGTATAGTTCATGATGTTTGAAGCCTTTAATATATTAAGTGCGAAAAGCCACTGGACTTTCGGATTGTCAAAGAAATCTTCGTCACAGTCTTCATAATTGGAATTCAGCAGATTATCAATTTGACGCCCAAGGGCCGAAAGTTTACTTTCGGGCCAAATACCGAAGTTAATACCGCTGCTTAATACCGATACTGCAGGCATGGTGTCAGAGATAGCCGAAACTTTTCCAACTTCAACTTGATACGGTATTAATAGGTCTGGCCACATAAGCGGATCGCAGGCAGTCCTAGTCTGTTTGCCAACATACATGGGATCCAATGCATGGGCTTTTGGCGACTGAGAAAACAGTTTACTTATCACACGCAGAACCTCTGGTTGAGACTCTCCCTCTTTTTTTGGCTGTTCCATTGCTGAATTTGTGTGTTTTCTGTAGAATTCAGTAGAATTAAGCAAAGTTGTACATTTTCAAATTACCAAAATACTCACCAATTCTTTTTTTTTTTTTTTGCTATTTAATCGCTAAAGCGAATTGAGTGGTCGCACGACGATGAATCTGCAATGACCAGATACTTCAGTTGGTATGGTGCTATCGATGATTTGTTGTGGAGGGCATGCACGGTATTGCTTTTCGATGATTCCAAGGTTTTGTTGATGAGGGCATGCACGGTGTTGCATTAAGATGATGTTCTCGGTGATATTAATTTTACAAAGTAATGTTAGGTGTAATGATTTTAACAAAGTACATTAGATTGGTGTTAACGGTGTAGGTAATTATACAGTATAATATTTAGTTTAAAAGTGTATTCGTGTGCGTGAGTTTTACAAGGAAATTAATAATAAAATGTCAATTATACAATGTAAGGGTTAGAAAGTGTAGTGTGTATGTTTTAATGTTTACGTTTTACAGGTATTCTAAGATTAAAGTGATATGTTTGCTTGAGATTAGTTTGTATGAAAATTATCACAGAAAAAAAGCAACAGAAGGTTGCTCCAGAGAGTAGGAACAACAGAAGGCTGCTCCTCAAAGTGACTTCCGATAGCACCGAGTTGCCTGACCTGAATTGATCCCATGTGCTTTGATTCAAAACTCCAAATTGGCCTCATCAATATATTTCGCCAATTCTCTAAATAAAAGAGGCTCTTTTGTGAGTAATAACTCCTTGATGTTATTAAATCGCTTGAAAATCTTGTACTTTTTTCTAATACTGGCATGTCTCTGGCAGTAGAAAATTTCGTGTTCCGCATCATCGAGAACACTGCAAACTTCACAGATGTTGGAATTTCTGGCTTTGATCCTATGTAAAAAGACGTGATCATAGGTACGTCCAATAAGTAGTCTGTTTATGACCTTTATATTTTTGGCACGCCAGTCAAGAGCCCAGTGCCACGGTTTGACTGGAATCTCGCTATAAATTGAAGCAAAATACGCCCCTTTAATTTTTGATATTTCTTTATACTCATTATTCCAGTCGATCTGGACTCTAATCTTAACTGTTCTAATTACTTCATCGAAGCTGAGAGGTATGTTAACTATTCTACCCACGCTAGTGGCTGATTTGGCTAGTAAGTCAGTCTTTTCGTTAATAGCAATGTTCTTATGACCGGGTATCCAGTGCAAAATAAAGTTGCTAGTGAAGGAATTGTCTATATTGAGGTGTATTTCGTCTGTTAAGTATGAATTTGATTCATTGCTTTTCAGAGCCTTTAAGGCCCCTTGACTATCACAGAGAATAACAGTTTTATTATATCTTTTTTTACTTGATATCTTTACTGCTGTTAGTATTCCTACAAGTTCTGCAAAAACAGAAGAGGAATTATTTTCAATCTTAAATTTATAGCTGTTGTTACTAGGGTAATCCAAGATACCTATACCTATCCTATCACCATTGATGGAGGCATCAGTGGAAAGAATGTTCCACCCATCTAACACCCACTCTTCAAGCTTGGCTTGAAATATGGCATTACATTCTTCGTTTGAGATGTCTTTTTTTTTCCTGTCAAAGACTGAGAAACAAATTGCAGCTTTAGGACTGTGTTTGTATTTTTTATTTTCAGTATAATTGTCGAAAAGGTCCCTAAATTCTTGGTACACGGCTGTGTAAGCAGTCCTTGCGTTAGACAGAGTGACATTATCATAAAGAGTCGGATTTAGCACTTTAACCTTAAGCAGTTCTCTGACTGTAAGAATCTTAGCTCTGTGTTTAGGCGGTAAAATACCAGCCAGAGCAAAAATCAGGTGCGTAGATGTTTTTGGAGGGACACCCACACATCGGCGAAGGCAGTCCGTCTGTGCAGTATTAAGAGATTTGCTATTGCCAATGTTTAGATTTGAAAAACTGGTAATGGCGTGCTCCTGCTGAGATCTGATGAAAGATTTGAAGATGTTGCAAGAGATTTTGGGTTTGAGACCTGATTTAATGGTGGTTACAGCATGTAGCAGAAGCTGACTCTTGTCTGACTTGTCCCTGATTTTTGCAATGTGCAATTTGTCTGACATATTGGCACTAAGGACTCTGCCTAAAAAGGTGATGGATTCCTTTATCGGAAAACTGCTATTATTGCATGTTACCGAGATGTTGTTACGTCTTCCCCTCCCAGCAACCATAACTGCAGATTTGCTGGGATTGAAATTAAGACCTAGATCCTGACAGAGGAAATGAAAGTTATCTACCTTTACCTGTAAGTTGTTCCTAGCTTCAGTTATGTTGTACCCAGTTGAGATGATGGCAAAATCATCAGCAAACTGAATTACAGTCGTATGGCAATCATTGATTTGATGCAGCCTTTTGGTGTACAGATTGAAAAGTATAGGCGAGAGGCAGGAGCCTTGAGGCAAACCACCATTGACTTCTTTAATGGAGTCACCAAGTTTTAAGAATCTTGATGAGAAGAAATTAACAATCCAATCTGTATATTGCGTAGGAATGTGTTCATGATCCATTAACATTTGTAGGGTTTGTAGATTAACACAGTTATATGCATTATCTATGTCTACAACGACAGTTACAACCGATTTTCCCCGTTTTTTCTCATGGGCCATGGTATTGATAAGATCATTTATACACATGGCTGCTGATTTGCCTTTTTGGTAGGCATAAGTCCGTCTGGGCATGGTATTGTGTTCTTCTAAGAACATATCGAGGCGATTCTTAATCATTAGATTAAGAGTTTTAGCCAACACAGAGATGAGCGAGATAGGGCGATAGTTTTGATAAATGCTGAGATCCTTACCGCGCTTTGGGATGGGAATGACTTTGATGGAACGCCATTGATCAGGGACTCTACACTTTGTAAATAGCTTGTTGTATTCTTGTATAAGATTGTTCTGTGCTGGACTATTGAGTGCTTTTACCATATCATACGTAATTCCGTCTATACCTCCCGCAGTGTTTCTGCCTCTGTTGAGAACAGCAGACAGGTCACTCAAGTCAAAAGAATCAATGTTCAGAGAAGTTTTTCTAGGAAAATATGTTTGAACTTTCGCTGATACAGAGACTTGTCTTCTAAGAAACTCAAGGTACGGAGAAGACCATTCTGAACTAAAGCTTGATTTTAAAGGATCATTGAAGGACTTGATGTTCCTCAAGAAAAGCCAGGCTTTCCTTGAGTTTGGCTGTTGATTGAGTAGATCAATTTTGTTGGCATACGAGTTCTTTTTTGCAAGCTTTACTGCCTTTTTCCATTCTGTTTTCAGGTAAACCACTCTTATATAGTTGTTCAGACTTGGAGCTCTCTGTGCCAGGATTTGTGATTCTGTATATTTGGAGTGCAGCAGCTGTAATTCTGGATTCCACCAAGCTTTGGGGCATCTAATGTTGCTTAAGGCATAAGTTGAGACCCTAATACTGTTTGTGAGGCTATTCGTGATGTTTGATATATTTCCTGCTAGCGTAGCACCTGCAAGTCTTCTAAGGAGTCTGTTTTTGGCAAGAAAGAGCCTCGGCTTCTCTTTGGTTTCTGGTATTATTATTGAGATAGGGTGATGGTGGCTGCCTCCAACAAAAGTGGAATTACAGCTCCAAGTGATATTTTCACAGCAGTTTGTGAATGTTAGATCCAAAACAGAACCGCTTTGACTGTCGATATGACGTCTAAAGGTGCAGTTTCCATCATTTAAACACTTATAGCCAGAATTACTCATATAGTCTTCCAGAAATCTACCCTTGGCATTCGTGACGTAGTCACCAAAGCAGGTGTTTTTTGCATTGAAATCTCCAGCAAAAATCACGTTGCTCCTGCCATCAAGCTTTTCAACAATGTCTTGAATTACATTTTTAAAAGTATCTGTCTTCATTGAAGGTTCAAAGTAGACTGAGACAATGGTAAAGTTTTTGTTTAAGTTGCATGTTTTGGCGATGAGAACATCGTGATCTGAGTTGTAGACTTCTTTTTTAAGTTTTATACCGTTTTTAAAAGCAATGGCTACTCCACCGTAACCATCATCTCTATGTTTTTCAATAAGATCATAATTGATCAGTTTTCTATAGGTAGTATCATGAGAAAAAACTTCGGAGAAAATAGCAATGCTATATTCACCAGAGTTAAGGGTATATTCTATGTCATTTTTATTGTTTTTAAGAGATTGGACATTTAGCTGTAAGATTTTAACAGTCATTATTATGTAAAAGGTCTATATTCTTCCCTACATGCTGTTTGCTGTGATGCGAGCTACCCTGTAGGACTTTTCCTCTGATGTTTTGAAGAATATTAGTGCCGTTAGCTGACAAGAGCAGTACAGGAGTGATAAGTTCAAGAATTTCTTGAACTATAGTGCTATTGACACTACTTAGAGTGTCCCCATTTTCCTTGTTGGGAAATTTATAGGCATGATCACTGGAGTCATTAGTGTATGAATCTAGTGAGAAGTGCGGTTTTTGTTTCGCAAAGCCTACAGTTCGTTGAACAAGTCTGCTGCTATAGGAGTGCTTTTTTAAAACATGGTTAGCTTCTTCATTCTTGTTGATGACTTGGGAGATTTGATCATTTGATTTGGTATTATTTTGATTGAACTGATTTTTGTGGATAATCTGAGGAAATTCTTTGTCGTAGTCAAGATTGCGATCATAGTTTTGTTGGAAAGAAAATTGCTTTAAGGCTTCTTTCCTGGCTAATTTTTTAATGGTCATAATTTTATTTATGTCGACTTCTTTGGCCCATACCTGACATTTGTTTCTCTCAAAAGCATTGTGCCCATCACACTGACACAAGATGCACTTGTTAATGTTGCAACTTTCATTGCAAGTATTGCTACCACATTTTTTGCAACGCTTTTGTGACTTACAACGTGAGGCTGTATGTCCTAAGCGACCACAATTGTAACACTGTCTAACCGCAGGAATATAATAACTGACCTTTAGCGAGCATATGTCATAAATTTGAACAGATGATGGGATTTCTGTGCCTGCAAAAAAAATTTTTACAGTCTCAGTTGGTTCAAGAACTACTTCATTCGCTTCATTTTTAGATTTTCTTAAAATGCGTTCAACACTGTTTATTTTAATTATCGAGGAAAGATTGTCAAGAAGTTTTATGTCAGAGATGCTTGTAGGAATGCCCCTAATGACACCTACGGTTTCAGTGAAGTTCTTTGGAATAAAAATATCGATATTTAATTTTTTTAATTCATCGTTAAGCACAAAAGCATTCGCATCATAAGGGGTATTAAAGTACAGTTTGTATAGAGTCGCTGCAAGGGGGTTTATGCGCTTAAGTCCATCAAGATTTGTATGTTTAATTTTTTCAAAGAGATAAAGGTCACTTTTTATATTTTTATTTTCAAAAATACTGCTACGTTTAGTTGCAAGAAGAACACAGGCTTCTCCTTTAAAAGAGAGCTCATACAGATTTATGTCATGTTGTTTGATTTTACTGTCATTTGAAGACACGCTACCGGCAGCAAATGTATTACTATCTTTGTTTGTATTGGTGCTATTTTCCATTTCGCTTGTATGTACGATTTTATTTTCCCGATTGAAATCCTGCCTCGACCCTGCTATAAACTTTTTGATATCCATAGTCTTGTTTGCAGCGCTCTCAGATGCACGCTTTACTCCTGACGCCACTATGGTGGCGTCAGCCATCTTCGCTGGTGGTTTCACCAGCCTGCCAGGGACTTACCAGCTTCATAAATGAAAAGCACTATTAGGACCGACAAAGTATAATAACACTAGTGCAACCGATTTTCCCAAGGAAACCTAAAGGGGCTAGAAAGGTTTGATGATATTTTTTCATGGCAGACTAAAGAATTTTTGAAAAGTGGTATTTTTTTTTAAAGCTTTTTTCAGAAGGTAGCGACGTTTTTTCAAATAACTTTAACAATTACGGGTTGAACAGAAGGTTATTTTGAAAAGGTAATTAAAACGGAAAAGAAGTTGAGCCCAAATACTTTGTGATTTCAGCTTACCGTCTGGGAAATATACAAGCATTGAAATGCAAAAATGATGATTTTTATTTAATTTTTTTAACGACTTTTTGACTTTAAAAACTCAGGAAAAGTCAAAAAAAAAATATATCATTTTGCTTTCAATGCTTTTTTTTTGTGAGGTAAGCTGAAATGACAAAGTATTTGGGCTCAACTTTAAAATTACCCAAAATAGAAAGTCTTTGGACGTAAAATTGTTAACCAAACCTAATGAAAAAGCAAAAAATACCTTCAGAACCGCTGCCATGGAAAAAAAACCATAATCTTACCAAATTTAAAAGCCCTATCTATCAAAAAAGTTGCTTTGGATCCAAAGGTTTTGTCGAGTAGTGTAATCGGTTACAATGATATGACCCTGCGTAGGTGTAGGTGGTGTTCTACACTTAATTGGAAACTTTCAGTTATAAAAAAGGAACACAACACAAGGGTAAGCTTTGTACATTTAAAATTTAAATGTATTTATTTAATTTTTTGTTCTCATACGTCACGCCTCTCTTGTCGCTCGACTCTGTTGTCCGCGCTTGTTGTGTGCTGTTCGGCCAGGTAGTTGTAAATGCAGCAACCTCCGAACCCATCACAGAGACTGAGAATAGGGATTGCGTGGCGTGGAGGGATCTGATCGATCGGATCTGCAATGTGTCTGAAATTCAAATTGTAAGTGTCTTTGCATCTGCGTGTGTGCTGGAATTCGAATATATAGCTATTTGTTGTTTAAAGTTATCTTTATATATATGTTTGTATGTATGTATAAATGTATTTGCATATGGGACTATAGACTATAAGAATGTTGTTACATCAGCTGAAGGCTGAGGGTGACAAAAACAAACTTTACAATTGGAAAAATCCTACGAGACACATTTACAAACAACTAACTAACTGTTATTATTATTTTATTTTGTTAATGTTTTACATTTCGGTTACTGTGAGGGCGTGGCGTGGTGAGGGTTCCGGTCTATGTAAGAATAATATGGAGAGAGAGGGCGGTGTGTAGTTTGAATTTCATTTATTTCCTGGTACTGACAGCTATTTTTTTTATTTAATTCTTTATTGGATGCTTGTAACGGGCAGTAGTATCCATTAAATTATAATAGTAAAATGTTAAAAGTTTAACTATGTGCTTAGAGTCTAATGAAAAAGGTATACATAGACGAATATGTACTCGTATTGTAATTTCAGAATTTGTGTCATCTTCCTCTTTCTCCGTTGTGTTTTCCTTCTCTTCAATCAATGCAAATGGATCATAGGATTTGCTTCAGTTTTGTGTGCAGTGTCGGGGTGTGATGGGATGGGATTGGGTGGCTGTGGCTCCCTGTTAGTTATGCTATGCGCCTTGCAACTATTACTAAATTTAATTTAATTTAAGTTGAATTACAAGTAATCTTTTTAGGTTTTTGTGTTACGTTCAAAATGTAGCTTAATTAATTTTCTACGCCTTTGCACTTGCTTTGATTTTTGCTTGCTACGCTATCCTCTCATTTTTAATTAATTATGTTTTTGTTGTTCTTTTTTTTTTATTTATTTTGTATTTTTGTTGGCTTGCCCTACGTTCAATAGTAAAATGTATATATATGTATATATATATTTATATAGTTATGGGTACGTTAAGAATTACATTAATGTAGGACATAAGTCTAAAAGGATAGAGGCTTGCTAATGGGCATCGAAGTGTGGGTGGGTATTGGGGCAATTGGGAGGTATAGGAAAAGGGGGGAACTTTGTATATTCGTATTATTAGTAGTAAAATTTGTATGTACAATTCGTTAGGTTGCTTAGGACTGATCATCGATCAACAGCATGACCTGCTGCGTTGTCGCTTGCGGATTCCTTGTGCACTCCACCTGATGAGCATTCCAATCCTTGCGCTGGCAGAACTCCGAGCAGTACGGCGTCTTCCGGCACAGCGAGCATTCGGCCAATGCCTCGCGGTTGCAGTTGGCGCACTAGACGATTAATTAATATTAATACTCGTATTGGAAATATGCGATTGCATTTGGGTTAAAGGGAATTTACCTTTTTGGCCGATATGATCTCATTTCCGTGCAGGGAGCCAGATATATTTGGATCATCGATGTCCGCGTGAACCTGTACGCGCATCGCACTAACCGCCGCATCGCGCTCCTTTTGCAAAACCTCGAGGCGACGCTCGTACGACTGCTTCATTTCGTTGAGCAGGCGCTTAAAGTCGTTGGTCGCCTTGACCATGGTGCAGTAGACATGCTCGATGTTCTTCATCGATTGACTGTTGTCCAGGACTGCAATGGAGGCCCCATCATTGATGTTAACCACGAACGTTTCACGCTCGTAGGCATTGCCCATTTGCGATTGGTCAACCAGTTCCGTGGAGGTGTCTAGGCTGTCGTTTAGCGCCGCCCACGGCTCATCTTTAGACGTGATGTTTTCCTCAGCCAAAAACATATTCTCATCCACAACGCTGGAGGTGGCCGCCACAGCAGCAGCCGCACTGGCGGCCGCCATATCTATATTGTTGTTGGCGCTGTTGCCGCTCGTGTTGTTGTTATTGTTGTTAGTGTTGCTATTATTATTGTTGTTGCTATGATGGGTATTACGCTTGCGCTTGGGACCAGGCTCCATATCGAGATCCGTTTGATTCCGCTTTCGTCGCTTATACGGTGTGAATAGACGTACAGGGCCGGAAGCTAAATTCAATCAGAATCGGTTTAAAAATACTCATTTACTCGACCAAATGATGTACGGTGGACTCGCCAGCACTCGCCACCACTCTTTACCGTCTAGTCTCTGCTAGACTGCTAACCCACAGTTGGTGCGGATAAATTGAAACCGAATCTTTTTTGTATAATCTATACAACTGTGGGGGGAGATGGCAATCAAGTTGTGGGCGACGAGTTCACTGTACTTGTTAAGGTCTTAATGGATGGACCGAGGTGCTGGTGACCAGGGTTATGGTTTTTGTTCGTCTCACCTGACTCACCTGCTTCACCGTCGCAACAGACGGTGCAGCTGCAGTTGGTTGCATGGGGCGTGAGTGTGCCCTCGTCGATGAGCGATTGCAGCGACTTGCCACCGTATTTAATGGAGCGCTTCCAGTCTTTGCTCGAGCCCCGGCCGCACACATGCTCGAACTCGCTGGGTGTGTGCCACTTCTCCTTGAACTTAACGCAGCGCCCACGGCCGCCAGATCCCAGTTTGCTGCGATATAGTTCGGCGCAGGTGGTTTTACAACGGATCTGGAAGACCTCCATGTGTTGGGTTGATGTGCTCTCTGCCCAGCCGGTGGAGCCCGTTGGTTGAGCACCACCACCCGCATGCTCGAGGACAAGACTGTCCTCGCTGGGTGCCCTGCTTCCAGAGCCGTCATGATTCAGTCCAAGTGTGTTGGTGGCATTTGTGTTGTTTCCAGCACTGTTGGAGCCCCCTCCTCCGCCGCTGGACTGTGTCTGCTGCTGCTGGATGACGATCGTCTTGAGGTCGTTGCCCATGCTGACCGTGCCACCGGACAGGTAGCCATTGTTGTCGACGCACAGCATCGGCTTGAAGTGGGGGAGCTGATCGGGTGTAATCACATTAAAGGTGGTGCCGGTTATCATTGAACCGATGGGCAGTGAAACTGGCACTGAGACAACACCGCCTCCTCCTGCTCCGCCACCGGAGCCGCTACCGCTGTTGTCGTTTGAGGAGGATGTGACCATGCGAACCTTAGAATCCAACTGCATTACCATAGCGCACATATTCCAACGTTCGTCACATGAATGTGGTTGAGTGTCCAATTGCCAATTGTCGTATTTGTGTTTTCGATCCGTGTAGTTTTATTTCAAGCGATGCGATGCGATTTGCCAAGGAATCAGAGAGGAAAATTCGAATGTAAGTAAACAACACAGCATGGGAAAAATGAAAATCGGTATACACAACAATTTGCGCCACAAAATCTGATGGCTTGGGGAGGGGGTGCGGGAGCGTGAGCGTGAGCGGGTGGTATGTACTGTATGGCGGCGTTCTGTGGGGGTTGGGATTGGTTTGCCCAGTGGGCCGCCTGCTCCGCTTGGAGCAGGCCAACCCCCCCTTACCCAACCCACTACCACACATGCACGCACACATGGACAGACTTTCCACTACTGCGCAGAGCAGAGCAAAAAGCAGAGCCAAGAGCCAGAGCCAGTGGCACTGGCAGCGAGGAGCCAGAACTAGAGTCAGAGTGAACCACATTCGGATTCGGAGTCACATGCACAGCCACAGCCACATCCACCCTTACCGCCAAGAGCCAAATTCTGTTTCTGTTTCATTACCTGATGGTGATGATGATGATGGTGATGGCCCGGGCTTTCTAATATCACCTCTTCTTTCACAACATCGCGCACATCGTCGGCCAAGTCTTTCACTTCACGTATCCTGCTTATGTGCAGCTCAGTTGCAGTTGAATCGACCTGTTCCATTATTGGTGTGCCACTAGCGCACTCAATTCACTTTCACTTGTTCTACCACTAATATTTCCGCTTTTATTTCTTAACATTAACTCATCGAATTGCTGCAAATTGCAATTGGACGTCTGTTGTGGTTGGTGCTTTTGCTGTTGCGCCTACAGTTTGTGTTTCCCGCGCACACCATTTACAATTTACATGTGCATTTTGTGGCATTCGCGTTGGCGATTCATTTTCTTCTATTTACAGTTTACAATATATTTCAATTTACATTTTTTAAGCTAAAAACTTTAAAAAATCTCTTAAAGTTGATATCCTCTTCTTCTTCCTCATGATAGAGTTGTCTGCATGTTGCACGAAAACGTCAGCAGAGTTGTCACGCGCATGGCGGAACGTGTGAGGTGCCGATAAATTCCAGACTCTGTTCAAACAAATGATAAAAAATAACTAAAATATGTTACGAAAAATCTATAAAATATTGGAAAATTTAACCATTGATTGTATCAAGGTATATTAAGTCATATTATGACTGGATTTAGATTATTTAAAAAGTTGGCTTGTTTCGTCCCCCCTGGATAGCACATCTCTATCACGACAGTGATATATCGGTCTATCGGGCACACTAAAGTAGTAAAATGGTAAATAAATGGTTAAATAAAAGGCACAAAATCAGAATGTAATGTATTTGCAGGCCGATGTGGATGTCTTTATAAGCAATTACACCCTTGTTGATCCCGAGATCTACCAGCTATGGATCGAAGGGTTTTCGTGTATGTTTTTGTTGTACCTTACCTTCTACTTTTGTTCTGTGTTGTGATTGCCATTGTTATTCTATTCTCTTGGTAGCAAGCGAAGCCGTCTCCTATTTGAAACAGAAGGGGTTTGGCCATTCCATGGGAGCACCAAGCGACTTGATTGCCTCCGATGTGCTGGACCACTACCGCACATATTCGCTGATAGAGCTATATCTGCACGCGCCCACCAAGCTGATGGAGCAATCCTGCTTTCAGCTAGAGCCACATATGCGAGACTTGATCACCGAGAAGTATTATTCCATTGATGATGTTGTAGCACGTGAGATATTGGGGAAAAAACTGACATCTCGGTACCGCAAGGATTTGGATGAAGTGGCTGAAAAGACGTGCGTCAAGCTGAAGTCCTGCCGGTAGGTTGATTTTCCACGCCAAAGAAGATTATCACCACAATTTCCTGCTCGTACGAGTATTAACAGCCGACAGTTCGACAACGTGAAGCGCATATTCAAAGCAGTAGAGGAGATGCCGGGAACGCTGACCAACAACATAAAGCAGCACTTCTTTATATCCAACGATCTTGCCAAGTATGAGGTGCCTGTAAAAAAGTGAACTCGGCTTATAGTTTCTGATTTCTTACATAGAAAGTATGCGTGTATCGTGTTCCTGGCATGCTTGCGCTTTGAAACGACCAAAAAGAAGCTGCAATATTTAAGTTTTTGCGATTTGTTGACCTGCTCGCACTCAATTATGATCTATTGGACCTACACGTACCAGGCAGGTTGAAGCACCCTTATGCTACTCACTTGAGCTGTCTAAATTGGAAGTTGCTCGTATTTTTAGCACACTGGCCCCGAGTACTACGACACTGAAATGGACAAGGAGTTCCTACTGGATCTTCGCGAACTTCGCTGCTTGCTGGATAAGGAAAAGGAGATAAAACAGTAGGGTTGAAAGCCTCCCATTATCTGGATGTATTTTATATTTTTTTCCTGCTTTACAGCCTCGTCTGCCTGCGCCTTAAGCCTGTTCTCCTTGACCGTGCCTTTCATGAGTTGGACGGAAACTTTCGGTGAGGAGGATATTTGCTTAAAAGTGCTGGTAGTGTAAATCTATTTCGCCTTTTAGCTCATATTGGCGCGCCTTGATAACAATCGCATGTAATCTTCATCGGAATCGGGAACTGCGCGATCTTTTCGTTGACCTCTGTGAAAAACTGATTGATCCCTGGCGCCAAAACGGTTGGAACCGAGAGCAAGTTAATAAATTTCTATCCTCCATAACGCAGAGCGTTCTGGATTTGGAAATTTCAAGGTGAATTATATTTTAATTTTGATCATTAGCACTACAATAATAAAGTATTGTTTTCTGCAGGGATCAGGAGACACGCTGTCTTTGGGATCGCTACATGCAGGTCATAACAATATGCCTGGATAAGATGTATCATATTTAAGTTCAGATTATAAATGTGTGTTTAGGAATAAACTCGATAGCGCTATCGATACTATCGACAGTGTCCCCCAATCCGTAACGATATATCGTGGTCGAAAAATCATCGTTCTCAATTCTAAAACCATCGATAGTGCCACCCATGTTTTTGCAGCCGCCCCAATGGAAATGCAAGAATTTTGGTAATTTCGCATAAATAAATAACTGCTTTAAGTGTATGTAGTCCGGAAAGCCCCTAAGAAACACAAACAGAAGCCCTGGCATCTACTGTTTGCATATCCTCTGCAGCTTATAGCATAGCAGGTTGCTGCACGACCAAAATGGGGTTGTTTCTTTAATTCCCACTCCTATTCTATTCCTTTGCTTGAAATATTTCAGCGAGAATCAGGAGCAGCTGGAAGACGACTTTGATGAAGAGAAAACGGGCAATCGTACTACAGATGAAAACCGCAAGTATGGGAAGGAAATGATGCGTGTGGTAGAATCGATAAAACCTATTCCATTTGTATCTGCTAGACAAAACCACAGCGAGATCGAGAAGCGGAGAAGGGATAAGATGAACACGTACATCAACGAGCTCTCCTCCATGATACCCATGTGCTATGCCATGCAGAGGAAGCTGGACAAGCTCACGGTGCTGCGGATGGCGGTGCAGCATTTGCGCGGGATACGAGGCAGCGGCAGTCTGCATCCGTACGTTGGCGCCGACTTTAGGCCGAGCTTTATGTCGGACCAGGAGCTGAAGATGATAATATTGCAGGCCTCGGAGGGTTTTCTGTTTGTTGTGGGTTGTGATCGTGGACGCATCCTCTATGTGTCCGACTCGGTATCCAGTGTTTTGGATTGCACGCAGGCGGATCTGTTGGGGCAGAGCTGGTTCGATGTCCTGCATCCGAAGGATATTGGCAAGGTGAAAGAGCAGCTATCCTCGCTGGAGCAGTGCCCAAGGGAGCGCCTCATCGATGCGAAGAGTGAGTGAATATTAGCTTGAAGTATTGGGAATCTTAAGCTCAATGGAACACATTTTTGTTTTCTATTCAGCCATGCTTCCCGTAAAGACAGACGTCCCTCAGAGCCTCTGCCGCCTGTGTCCTGGTGCCCGTCGCTCCTTCTTTTGCCGCATGAAACTGCGTGCAGCAAACAATCAAATCAAGGAGGAATCAGACACATCGTCCAGCTCACGCAGCTCCACCAAGCGCAAGTCCAAGCTGAGTATAGAACACAAGTATCGGGTTATTCAGTGCACCGGCTACCTGAAATCATGGACGCCCATCAAGGATGAGGAACAGGATGGCGATAGCGACGACCAGACAACAAATCTCTCCTGCCTGGTAGCCATCGGCCGCATACCACCCAATGTGCTCAACCCAAGTGTACCCACCTCGCTGGAAACCCATCCGAACATTCGGCATGTGCTCTTCATCTCCCGACACTCGGCGGAGGGAAAGTTTCTTTTCATCGATCAGCGGTAGGTTTGCGAGTAGTTACTGATTCTTAGTCTAGCGTGGCTTTATATGGCAATTTGTTGTGCTTCTCCTTTAGTGCCACCCTCGTGATTGGTTTCCTGCCACAGGAGATCCTTGGGACCAGCTTTTACGAGTATTTCCACAACGAAGACATCGCCGCACTGGTCGAGTCCCACAAGATTGTCATGCAGGTGCCAGAGAAGCTCACCACGCAGGTGTACCGCTTCCGCTGCAAGGACAATGGCTACGTTCAGCTGCAGAGCGAGTGGCGTGCCTTCAAGAATCCCTGGACGAATGAGATTGACTACATAATTGCCAAAAATTCTGTCTTCTTGTAATCTGGCATCTGGCTCCCCAATGCCAGATTCCATTTGTTTGATAATCTACCTTAACCGTAACTCATTTTATACCATAATTAAACGCACAAAATCAATTGGAAAATGTTAGAATGTATCTCCTATATGTACGAGTATGTCTACGAGTCTAAGAGAGTTTTCGCAGAGTAATATATGTAGTACATAGTATAATAAACAACAAATAGTTCTTAGACAGGCACGTTTTGGACGTGATCTTCGGTCGAATTTCTTTCTGTATATGCCAGAGTATAAGTATATTAATGTATATGTACATATGCATATATCTACACACGTACATGATTTATCAACTGAGACGGGCTTTTTCGCCCATTTCGTTTCGTTTCGATTCGTTTTTTCTCGTTTCTTTTTTCCTGCACTATCAATAGACAGACCCACATGAAAAGACGACACGACAGGCCAAGCGCGTGGGTCTGGGCCTGGGTCCGACTCTCTCGTGAATTGGATTCGGAATTAGTTGGCACAGAGCTGGCGTGTTGTGCGGACGGACGGTTTTATTTCGTACTCAATAGTTCATCAATTGGATAAAAAGAAAAATGAGCGCCCTCATATTTTTGTGCGCTATTTTAATTGGATTTGTGATCTATTCACTAATCAAATCGGTGCGACGACCAAAGAATTTTCCCCCAGGTGAGACGGAAACAAAGGATACGCGGCACAATTCCCTTGTTGTGTTCCCCAATAGAAATACGATCTTCAGATGGGGTCTAAGTGAGGATATACAAAAGAATCATATAACCAAAAACTCTCTGATACACTCGGAGAATATGGAACTTAAAGTGTCGTGTCTATTGTGTGATTAGGCTATGCCTTCCATGTGTTCCATGTAGGATCCACAGACAGACGAGACGACCTGCCTGACTCCCAAATGGTTTCACTCATTAGCAACACGAAATGGATACCGACAGTGACAGAGACAGAGATGGCTACGGGAACGGCATTGATAATATTGTCACACAGCATATCTGACACCTAACCTAACAGGTCTGAGGTACGTGCCTAACAAGGGTTGGGGTACGGCTGATTTATGCATATCTCAGTTCTCCAAATGCAGCTTGCTGGGATGGTAAAATATTGCATTGTAATGCCATGCAGTGTAGGGCATTCCCTATATTTATAGTAGAATAATTTGCATACAAGTAATGATGGGACATTTCAATATATTTGAACTCAAAATATTACCAGACTTTCCAGAAGCTTAAAGTGTGTTCTGTTCTTGTATTCTTATATTATTGAAACGCACTGTCTACTCTACGTTATGTGTGAAAACTAAAAACCAATCAGCCACAACAGATCCCAATCCCAGCACATGTACTGGTGCGCCCCGCATTGATATTTCTGATAACCAACAGATTTCGATTTAAAGTTTTCATGATTTACTAGCCAACACATTTCACTAGCTACCCGACCGATTAGATTAGTAAGTAGTACTCCGAATATACGAGTATATTCCTTCCGGACACAGGCATAGGAACAGTTTGGTCTAATAACCAATTTGAACTTCAATCACCAATCATTGATTAGCCATCGATTTGGTTTGAGATTGAAACGCTTTCGGAAAAGATTTATATGTACAGATCTGATTCTGTCTGTTCTGTTCTCTTTACAATCAGGTCCCCGATTCTTGCCTTGGCTGGGCAACACGCTGCAGTTCCGTAAGGAGGCACGGGCTGTGGGCGGCCAGCACATCCTCTTTGGCCAATGGGCGCAGCGATACCAGAGCCCATTGCTGGGTCTGAAGCTGGGACAGGAGTACGTGGTGGTGGCTCTGGGACACGAGATGGTGCGCGAGGTGCAGCTGCAGGAGGTCTTTGAGGGCAGGCCGGATAACTTCTTTCTGCGGCTGCGCACGATGGGGACGAGGAAGGGTATCACCTGCACGGACGGGAAGCTCTGGTACGAGCACCGCAACTTTGCCATGAAGCAGATGCGTCACGTCGGCTACGGACGCAGTCAGATGGAGAGCCACATCGAGCGGGAGGCGGAGGAGCTTCTGTTGCAGCTGGGCAAGACTGAGGAGGCGCCCATAGAGCCGGTGACAAGGTTGGCCCACGGGGTGCTCAATGTGCTGTGGTGCCTCATAGCGGGTAAGAGGATCGCCAGCGAGGAGGACAGCACGCTGCAAAGGTTGCTGGAGCTGATGAATCGTCGCTCCAAGCTGTTCGACATCTGCGGTGGGCTGCTCGCTCAGTTCCCCTGGCTGCGGCATGTGGCCCCCGACCGCACCGGCTACAATCTCATCCGGCAGCTGAACACGGAGCTCTACGGCTTCTTCATGGATACCATAGGGGAGCACAGGCGGCAGCTGGAGAAGGCATCGGACAATGAGCCGGTGGAGAGTGACCTGATCTTTGCCTATCTGCAGGAGATGCAGGATCAGAGCTCGGATAGTGAGAGCAGCAGCTTTAACGAAACTCAACTGGTAATGACCATTTTAGACTTTTTCATTGCCGGCTCCCAGACCACCAGCAACACTATCAACCTGGCTCTCATGGTGCTGGCCATGAGATCGGATGTTCAGGAGAAGCTTTTTGCTGAGGTCTCGGCCAACGTGAAGTCGGCCAAATCGGACGCCTTCCCCCATCTCAGTCGGCGGGAATCGTTTGACTACATGGACGCTTTTATAATGGAGGTGCAGCGTTTCTTCCACATCACACCCATTACTGGTCCCCGTCGTGCCCTCTGGCCCACTCAGCTGGGAGGCTACGACATTCCCCAGAATGCCACCATTCTGATTAGCTTGCGTTCGGTGCATCTCGACGAGCAGCACTGGGTGGATCCGCTGCAATTTCGGCCAGAGCGCTTCATCGATGTGGGTGGCAAGTGCTTCAAGGATGAGTTTTTCATGCCCTTTGGCCTAGGAAGACGCCGCTGTCTGGGCGATGCCCTGGCCCGTGCCTGCATCTTCTCGTTTCTGGCAAGGATAGTCCAGCACTTTCGCATTGTCCTGCCGCCAGGCGAGACACCGTCGATGGTCCTGCTGCCCGGAATCACGCTCACGCCAAAGCCCTACAAAGTAAAGTTCGTGAAGCGTTTCTAAGATTGCTTGGGTAGGTTGATCTTCAGGATCGGGCAGGGTGTTGGGTATTCATTTCCACATTGTGTGTATGTACATTGTACAATAATCTTAAGGTTATTTGAATAAATAACAAGATATAGTATACCGATCCGGTGTGGTTCTGGTCTGGTTTTTGTTCTTTATTAAAGTGTCCTCTAACTTAAATTTTCATAATTTAAACAATTTGTGTAACAAAATGGAAATTAAATAAAAACCATATTATCATCGTTATCATTAAGCGTTAATGATCATCGCTATCGTTCGTTTTTGTCTGTGTATATGCATGTATGTATAACAACACCAAGTCAGGGCTCTCAATGTATGGAAAAAGTATTTACAAATTGAGGAGGAATAAAAGTCCATATACAGTGGGAGAGTGGGGGTGTGTGTGTATAATAAAATATGTAGCTATCTAGGGGTAACACGTTCTGGTTGGTCCTGGACCAAATTGCGTTTGCAAATTAAAAATAACCATAATAAAAATCAAAATCATCATGGGGAGAGTATTCTTAACAAAACAATGAAATGAGCCCACCTGACGACGGACCACCAATTTGACTTAAATGCTAGTAGTGACTGCACTTAGACATGTGCCTGCCTGTCTGCCTGTGCCGACTGCTGCTGTCCCCTCTCATCTACCTTTCTATCGCAATTTTGTTGTATGTCTGTTTGTGTTTGTTTGAACTGGAACAATACAATCATCTTATCTTTTTCTGGTACTAAAAATTGAAGCCATTGTCTGGCATATTCTGCGGATTGAACTCGAACTGTTGATTTCCGGCCACGGGAGCCACACGGGTGTCCTCCTCCTCGTTTCCAAAGTACTGTTCAATAATGTAGAATGACTTGTGATAGATGTCACGGTTCTCGTGCGCCTGCAGATACTCGATTTTGTCCAAACCTAAAGTCAGACATTAAGCAGCATTAGGATTGAAACCAATTGATAACGAAAATGAGCTCACCTCCGCACTCCTCGATGGCCATGGCATAGGGATTGGGTCGAGCCTGGTACTTTTCGCCAGCTTTAAGTATATTCTCCAGAGCATTGAGCGCCACCTGAACAATGTCGGAATCGATAACAGTGAGGAAGTCACACATTGGCGGCACACAGCCGACCTCCACTAGATAGTTGATTTGCTCTGAGGTGCCACTACTGGTGGCATTGGTAATGGCCCAGGCGGCCTCTTTGCGCGTCTTGAACTCGGCCGTCTGCATAATGTTCATCAACTGTGGGAATATGTTGGCATTAATAATGGCCTGAATTTGATCCTGATTGCCAGCGGCAATATTTGATATGGTCCAGCAGGATTCCTTCCTTATCGTCTCCGTCGTCGAGTGGAGCAAGTGGCTAATGCAGGGCAACGCATTGTAGCTCAATATCATTTGAGTTTGCTGATCATCACCGGTCACAATATTACCAACAGCCCTCAAAGCAGCAGTGCTGACATTCTGCTGGGGATGCCTACCAGAATGAGAGCGAAGAGGATAAGCAATTGAATTGATCCTGTTTTAACGACGAGTACTTACAGTAGTAGTTCAACCAGACGACGAGAAACGCCCGCATCTATGACAGCCTGAATTTTATCATTGGGTCCATCCGAAAGATAGCTGATGGCCCAGCATGTGTCGCTGAGGACATCAACATCGGTGTAGTCGAGCAGACGAGCCAGTATGGGCAGACCGTGGACGATTTTAGTGAAGTCCGCTGGCGGATTTTTGCCGCGACACAAATTTGAGAGCGTCCACACGGCATTCCGGATCATTGTGATACGCTCCGAAGAGCTCAACACACTGCAAAAAAAAAAAAAACAGGAAAAAAAACCGTATATATTGTCTATCGGAAGGCGCGGACAATAGCTCTACTCTCTACTCACTGCAACAGGGGCATCATAATTCCCGAGCTAAGCAGATGGTCACGGCACAAAGGCGAGTCGCCAGCTATGTTGCCCAGGGCCCAAACGGCCTGCTCCTGCACATCGTCGTGGGGGCTGGACAGCAGCTCTATGAATATGGGCACAGCCCCGGCCTCAATGACAATCTTGGTTTGATGCGAAGTGCCCGACGCGATGTTTGTCAGTGTCCAGGCTGCCTCAAACTGCAGAGTAGCATTGGTGTTGTTTCTTAGAAAGGTCACAAACTGGGGCACTATGCCTCTCTGGATGACCTCCTCGATGGGCGGATTGGGATCGCGAGACAACAACTTGCGAAACTTTTGGGTTGCCTCCAGTTGATCGCTCTCCTTGGTGCTGTACAGCATGTTTATCATTTCCTGGTTAATAATCGATTGTTGCGGTCCTGTTCCGGCACCGGCCTCTGCCTGGCCCGATGACTGTGTCCCCATTCCCTGCGGGCCAGTAGTACTGTCCGCAATTTGCATTTCCGTGTTCTGTGATAGAAATTCGTTCAGTGACCATGCTACACAGTGGACAATAAATAGAATGCATACCTGCAACTCACTGCCGCTGCTACTCTCCATTCCGGTAGGAGATGGATCCAGCACCACATTGCGACGCTTGAACAATTGCTGCTCACGCTTGGTTTTGCGCAACTGGATGCCAACTTCCTCGCGACGGCGACGCATTTCCGTTGAGTCCAGTGCGGCATTTTTATACCGCTGTTTATGGGTAGCGGACATGGTGTTGTCGTTTCAGTTTACGATGCTGAAAATATTCACAATTCACAAAAATTTTAATATTTATTTAATATTATTTTAAATAGATTGACAGCTTTGATGCAACACTCTTTAATATTCGTTCTACATATGTATATAATGTAAGCATGTACGTACATACATATGTATATAAACAGTCACTGCCATCTGATTTAACCCTCACTTTAGTGACCCCAACCCTCCCCCTACCATTTCCATATGGCAGGTTTATCTAGGAAAGAGTACGGATATAACGTTGCTATCCAAATACTTGATCTAATCTGGTATGTACATTCGTGTTTGATGAACTTTTTCGTTTTCTTAGCAAATATGCACAATATCACAACACTTTCACATTTATGTGTATGGAAAAATGTATGTATGTATGCATGCATGTGTTTGTGCGTGGGCTTAGGTCAGAAGCAGCAGGCCGTGCTGCACCCACAACTTGTCGAGTCACTCTTTTTGGTAAGTAATACCACTTGCTGAAGAATTATTAATGATCATTACTTTCGTTACGTTACCTGTCTGCGGAAGGGCTTTCTTTGCCTGCTTAAATCATGCGAAGAGCAAAATTTTACGCACGATACGCCACACGTTTTAGCGCACAGAGTTGCCAGATGGCCCTGGAATGCATTACAGCTGATGCAATAGATATCGAAAGCCAGCATTGACGCGGGGCCAAGACTCGGCGGCTATCAACTTGGAGGCAAACATTATGAAAAATTCGAAAGGAAAAAAAGCACGTCGAAAGGCCAAGAAACAAATTAAACGCCCGGAAACCAAAAAAATGACTCAGGAAAAGCACATAATGGAACTGATGCACGAATACAACAATCTGAAGGATGCGACCCAGCTAGTAATTGGAACCTTGGCCGCATTGAAGGACATTTCCATCCGATCAGCACATGACATGTACAACTTGCCTAACAATGAATGAAAAATAAATAGTTTTCGGGCTCGTTTATGTATTTCCAATTACTCATAAATGCCAACAGGTCAGTAAAGTCTTTGCGGCGGTTCCCTTATGGTCGAGACCTAAGATTTAAGCTTAAAACTAATGAAGTCACTGCACTGCGTTCAATTGCACACTTTGATATTGCGAATCACTCTATTGTCCAGCATGGAAGAAGGCTCGGCAGCGTTCATTGAATGCCTTGTACGTCCGCTCCTTGATTATGTCCTCCACATACAGCTCTGCCTGTAGCACCCTCAGCTGTGGAGCAAATAGAGATATGTAATTGCAATTTATAAGCAAGCACAGTATTCCACGATTCCTTTACCTTTCGCTGCTCTGCCTTGAACTTGCTGCCCGTATCCACATCATTGGGCTGAGCCTCTTGCTGCTCACGGAGTTTTTTCAGACTATTCGCCGACAGAGTTATGCAATTGCGTATCTTCTCTTGCTGTTCGGTTAAAAAATACAAATTTTGTTGGGGCCATCTACAACGCCAATATTTAGGTTACCCGAGACAGATGCGATTGCTCCAGCTTAGCATAAAGGTCGCGGCACGTATTTTCGCTGTTAACCTGGCCCTTGAAGGATTCGGTGGGAAGTGCGTTCAGAGAGTAAATAATTTTGTCATCCACATCTCGCATTTTCTTCAGCGTCTCCTGTTATCAGTTGAGAACCTTGTTATATGGGGGGAATGAGCAATATGAACTTTGCTTGGCACTCACCTGGAAGCCGAGAAAGTCCAAGCAATAAACGGCCATTGAAACTAGGGATCAAAACTAGGTAAAATGGAATTTTAAAAATAAAAACAAAATTCTATAGTATAATGCCGGCGCAACGTGCCAGTTGCGGGAGTTGCCATCTAGGGTTCAATTCTATCGAATCGATGTTTATTCAATATCGATATGTGGTGCTGTGAGCCCCGCGCATCGCTAGCTGGTGCATGTCAAAAAAAAAATCATAACAAATTAGTCTCAAACAAACGACGACCCGAACCAGCCCACAGTCCCCAGCAGCCTTCACAATGCCAGTTAGATCCGAAGATATACGGGAAAAAATAGAAAATGGAATCTACAAGCTTGCACTCAACGACAAAAGCACGCGCAGCACTGTGTGGCGCGTTTACCGAAAAATTGAGAAAGAGGATGGACATGTCCTTGAGAACATATTATATTGCACTGGCTGCAAGGGCTTAATGTCGTTCACCCACAAATCGACGACAAATCTACGGCGCCACAGGTGCCATCTGCAGTATCTAAAAAAGCAACTTCTCTTCGGATGCAAGTCTAGCCCAAAAACACACAAAACCGAAATCGACACCAGCGACGAGGAGCTTCATTCACCTAACCACCAAACTGAACGTATACCCGCCGTCTCAGAGATGGCGGTGAACAAGGAGGAAAAACATCAGCACCTCGACGACGAGGATGAGAAGAAACCCACTGCCGCCGACGTTGCCGCCTTCGCCAGTGCTTGCATCGTTCAGCCTCAGCTCCAGTCCCAGCCCCATCTCCAGAATCAGCCGGACATGCCGGGGTCCCTCGATGTCAGTGAAGCCCAGGAGTCCTCTATATACGCCCAAACATGGTCCCTGGAGTATCGCAAGCTCAGTGAAGACCAAAAGTTCTATGCCAAACGAGCAATTGACGAGATCTTTGTCCTGGGCCGATTACGGCGCTTAACATTAAACACGGTGCCACCAGCTGAGTAAATAGTCCTCTCCTTGAAATAGTTGCCATCATCTGTACATATACAAATTGGTATTAATTCAAATAAATATTAATAGTGGAAACCGGTCTCGGTTATAAAAATACCGAAATAATCTCGTTCTATAAGAAATTAAGTAGTATTTTTGTTGTTTCGGGGGTTTTATGATTTTATTCGAGGATTCTTCAATATATATTCTTTTCGAAATATCGATATCAATCATCGAAAGCAAGCCGTCTTTGGCTTCTTGCTTTGAACAGTTTGTTTACGTTTGCAAAATAAAATGTCTGCGCGACCGGGTCTGCATAAAGTTAATATCACACAAAGCCCCAAACGACCTGCTCCGCAAGCTGTTGATGTGGTTGATAATGATGAGCACATTCTAACTAACTCGGTGGTTAATGATGACTTCAAGCTAGCGGAATCAGCAGCGCACTATGAGGAAGGTTCGTCGGGAGAGGAAGACCAGAACGAGGCCGGCGAAGATGTAGTGCCCGACAAGCAGAGGATCTGGCACTTTAATGTTATTGTTCCTCTTATATTAATTTTACTGGCGATGGTAGCCTGGCAATACAGCAATACAGCGGATACAGCGGATAAAAGCTGTGCTTTTGAGAAGCTGCGCAAGATCGAGCCGATCCAATCGGAAAGAGTATGGAAGCCTCTACAAAAAGGCATTGAAGGACTGATCAACAAGCGAGATCCGCGACCCAGTGTGTTCCTGTTTCTGCATCAAGATAAGAGCCTAAAGACACTCATTGACGATATTGCCACTGAGGCGTCCGGCTGTTTTGGTATGTTCTGCCTTATCTGATCATATATGCTTGGAACCATCTTCTTACCAATCGATACCAACAGGTGGACCAGGGAAGCCAATACATATGAACAAAGATGACTTTGTGTCCCAAACTGGCGACTATGGATTTGCCATAGAGCAGTTTAAGAAGAAAATTAAAGAGGGCAAAGTATTTGTCATTGTTAATCTCAATGAGGTAAGTGGAGCTGCAATGCACCAACAGTGCAGCTGAACTTTGCTTGTTTTGCAGATTCCTCCAAGTTCGGCACGGGCCTTGCATACGATTTGCGACACCTACAACCCCATTGCCGCGGATTCAGTTATCTTTCTTACGCTGCACACATCCAACACAAAAGACACGGGAAACTCGGTGGAATTGGCTAAGGAAACGCTGTACGAGCTGTGGGGCACGCAGCTGCTAGACAACGAGCTTGATCCCCTAATCACGCGTGTCACCGACCAGGTGCTGCATCTACACAGCAAGAGCTAAGCTCTCGTTGCTCTCAGAATCTAAAGAAAACTAGATTTAATATAAATTTGTATTAATAAACCAATAGCATTTAAAGTACTGGCATTTCCAATTGCTTGTGGTGCCATAGTTCCGCCACAAATGCCAGCAGGCTGCATATCAGGCCGAAGCACCAAAGCATGATCAGACCGATGATGTTGTCGAAGCCCAGCTGTACGGGACCGATTTCAAGGTTCTGCTTCTGGGAGGCAACAATGCGATTCTGCCGATGGGCGTTCATATATTCGGCGGCAATCTTCCACTCCCAGAATTTGTCCAGGCCCGAGGAGTGCCAGACCATAATAAAGTCGTTGTAGGCATTCAGATGCGGCCAAAGTCGCGGCACAAATGCCACTGTGAAGGCGAAGTAAATGTCATCGACCATAAGTTTTAGTCGTTCCAATGAATCGTTGGCAATTAACTCTGTATTGCCCAAGTGGCCATACTGCAAGCGCTCGACAACAAATCCCATCTGCTCCGAACGCGAGTAGGAGGAGATTAGGGCGGCATCAAACACACGATAATGCTCCATAAGTCCCAGGAGAACTGGCTACAACTGAGAGGTTTTGATCATGTCTCATATTATCCATTGCTCAAGACTCACATCAGCTGACCGCTCATCAATTGTGGTGATCCAAGCCTGCGATGTACCAGTCCAGATCAGTTTATGATCATAGAGACGCTGTCGAGAATCGGCCGCCTCCTCCAGAGTGGGCAGAGTCAGGATAGCCGCCAGTCCGCCGCTGTAGACGGTCGTTAGGATAATGTCAATCATGTAGCTGGCCAAGAGCACGGTGCGCAGGGAATTCGATGTGGTTACATAGCTGGTGCCCTGGTTAACGAATAGTTTTAGCGTGCTGACGCAGCCAAACCGTAGACTTTCGACCCATGTCTGTGCCCGCATCGATCGCTCCCAGCGACGGGTCAGGCAAAGGCCCAGTATCTCGAGCAGCAGGCAGACCATCACACACAGCCAAAGTATGGCCTGGAATGGACGCAGAAGCAGGGTCCAGCTGATTAAACGATTGGGAGCTGGCACCAGACAGGTGACGCCCGAACGTCCAAGAAAGTGGGTCATATCCATGTGCTGATAGGCCTCGTACCTAGCCAAAGACATTTTCAACCGGTATACACAAAGGATGGTATGGAAATCCTACCACAAATACATTCCACCAATACCATAGTCGTTCCGTCTATCGAGCACCATTCCTACCAGACCATATCCCGTGGCGTTTGAATAGATATCACCCCAGTCGCTCGTCTCAGCTGGGAACAGAATGAACAGAGTGAATTGAAGTAGGCACATATGAGTAGAGTAACCTACTTGTATCAACCTGGACAGTGCAGTTGTAAAGTTCACAGAATATCAGCATTATACGCACTTCGGTGCCATCGATGGAGACTTCCGTCTTGCCTTCAGCGCGATCGTAAATAGTTGGCTGCCTTTCCTGGCACATCGGTTGAGATATTAATAGAGTTCTATTAAAGAAGATATCAACTCACATAATCCAGTAGCATGAATGGCTTGTAATCGAAGATTCCAATTACCACTTCACGACCCTGTAGATTCTGCAGCTTCTTGGACATTTTTTTGCCACTTTCCCAGATGATTTCCCTCTGCTGGGCGTCATAGCGTTGCATTAAATTGAATTGAATCGGCTCCGATCTGTGGTCAAAGTCTCGCGGACCCACAAAGCGATTTGTTTTGATGTCAAAGATGCTTGAATTCATATATGGGGCGCTGACCAGCAAAACATTCGGTTGATCTTTAGTTAGTAAATGAAACGAATGATTGGCAGCCAACAACGCAAAAGGTACATCCTACCGTGAAATATGTATCCTCGGAGAAAGTTTTTATCCTCCTGCAGCAGCAGTTCATCCGTGTAGGCAAAAATAAACCGGTTCCGCGGCGAACGCCAAATCGAATAAATGCTGGCATTATAGAAGTAACGAGCAAAGTCCGGTATCTGCTCTTGAAATGCTAAAAATGTCTTCAAATAGTCAAATAAACTTTAAATAGTAAATGGTTGAATTTCGATTGTCTATCAATCAGCTGATCTGCTATCGAAGCAAGACACAAGCAAGAATCGAAATTCGGAAATTCGACCCAAGTTATAATGGATAAACTAAGACTCGGCTGTCCTTTTTCGTTCCTTGGGGGAAAGGAGGGAAGACCGCAGGGACCCAAATCAGATATACTCCAGCTAAACTACGACTGTTATTTGAAAATAATTTCTTATCTGACTGCACTCGAGGATCAACTAAATCTGGGCCGCGCCCATCCGTTGTTCCACCAAGTGCTGGCGAGCCTATTGCCTACGCGCTATAGTAAAATCAATGTGAAGATGCTAAAAACCGTTCAGGACTGGGAGTATATGCTGGAACTTTGCGGTCCCAGCGTGGTGCGCTGTGAGGTGCCCCACGGCCGCTGGGACGAGTCCTTTACCCACCCGTTTCTCAATCTTCTCAACCAGCACTGTTTGAATTTGCAACAACTTGTGCTGATATTCATGCACTCGGACACGGACACACCGCCCGCTTCGAGGGACAGTAGAGGTGGACACGCTAACATTATGCAGCTGCTGCTGGAGCTTCCTGGCCTGACAAACTTGACGTTAATCGATGCCAGAGCGCCTCAGCGTAGGTACTTCCTGACCTGCTTACCCGCTGATACAGATTTATCATCCATGCAGTTGAACAGTTGCAACATTTCGGTGAACTGCAAGCCCTAGATGTGGATGGAATTGACGTTAATCTTACTGAAGAGAATTTCGTGCAGATGTTCCACAACAAGGAGAAATTGTGCCGCTTATTGTTAAACTTTGGACGAGCCCTAAAACGAACGTATCAGCTGCCCCAGTTGTCCGAACATTGTGCTCATCTGGAACATCTGACGCTGGAGAACTTTGACTTGAACCTTCCCGATATGGGAGAGTTTAGATCTCTGAAATCTCTGCGTATGATCTCGCGCTGGATAGGAGGAGTGAACAGCGAGTTCTACAAATCGTTGGCCCAACGCTATGCAGATCGCTTGGAGCAGCTGCAGCTCCTGTCTATTCGTGTTGGACCAGCCCAAGTGCATGACATACTGGCACTTAAGAGACTCAAGGCGCTCGATTGCGATAACTGGCCCTCAGAAGCTGTGGACAAATTGAGTCTACTAACTGAACTCGAGTGCTTGGCCATAGAATGTATTAATCCCATTAAAGGAGTTAATTGTCAGCTTCTGTCTGTCCTAAGCAGCTGCTCGAAGCTGGCTCATCTGAAGCTGGGCAAGCGCTGGAAGATGACCAGCACTCAGGCACAACAATTTTTGTCCGATGTGCGAGACGTCCGTTTGGGATCCAAAATGAAACTTTTGCTGACACTTTCGTTTATCAAATTGCCAGAGCATCAACAAATGGTTCGACTACATTTCTAATAACTATAAATACTTTACTGTAACTCACTAACATTTCAGTTGAATGGTCTGTTAACAAATCACACGCATTTACGGCTTGGTTTTCATGACGTCTGCCATTACTGTCGGCCAGATACACACTCCAGGTGCGACACAATCTTTGACTAACCGCTAAAAGCATTATTTACCTCACAATGGGAATGTTCTATGGCAACCGTCAGCCTTAGTATCCAATCGTTGTAGGCAATACCATTCATCTCAAACTCGCGTCGTTTACTTTCATAATCGTAGACATCAGCCTCTTCGTGTATCCACTTTTGCGAGTTCATGTTTATCAAGGGCAGCCATCCATCCCTTGCCAGTTGTATATCAAATGCAGAATGCCACAAAATGCAAGTGGAGTGCGAATCCATAAAATATTGCTGGGCTAAATGGATACACCGGCTTCTACCATTTGATTGACAATAAACTGTAAAACTCACCCAGAAAATTTAGCACGATTGACCAATAACTTGGTTCCACTCGAATATGGGTCATTGTTGCTTTGTTACTTCGGATTAAATGTTCCTCCTCTTATCTACATATCTCGTATATATAGAAAATTGTGCAATTCTCAATCAGTAATAATTTTAAATTGTATTTATTTGAGTTACGATTCTGACGAAGTACCTGAAGAAAGTGCGTCTTAATGGGACTATAAATAATCAAAGAGATACCCGTATATAATTATTTGGCTTCCAATTGAGCAGCAGAGTGGCTAATTCTTTAAGTTGTTAAGTGCTGAAGATACGGGCCGAGAACTGTTTAAATATTTATTGACATATGTTTAGCGATTATTGTAAATATTAAACAAATATAATTTTGTTATGCATATTAAATTACTTTCATTCTTACTTACAATCTAAGCACAATTAGGGGGGGAAAATATGGGCATGTCTACTCCAGGCTCCTTGGGGAAAATGTGCAAAACACTTATCCACTAACATAGTAAATGTGGGTGTAATTTAATTCGTATTTAAACTAAGCTTTGACGCTGCCAATGCCACTGCCGAGCGACTTCATTAGTTGGTAGCATTCCTTAAGCTTGCGCTTGTCGCCCACCTTTTCCAGTGTCTTGGCCGCCTCGGCCAGCATGCCAGCACGCTCGCCAGGCGAACTCAACAGGGCGGGTGGCAGATATTTGCATGCCACATACATGGCAGCAGCGCGCTCTCGCTCCCCACCCTCAAAGTTCTGATGACGTCGATCCTTGCTGCCACAGAATATGGACGAATGGGCATAGCGCGAGCGTAGACTTCTATCCAGCAGTTGCTGGGTGGGACAAGGCGAGGCACCGGCCATAAGGCGACAAACGGCCTCATACAAATAAATTCTCGATTGGGCGTTCTGTAATATGGAAAAATTCGTGCTATTTTGTGAAATTCGGAATACGTAGACTTTTAAGCGCTTACTGGTATATTTTCAACAATGCTGCGCAAGGAATTCAAGCCGGTTTGGAACTTTTCGAGCACATCGCCAGGCACCTGATAGTAACCATCATCCTCGACATTCATATGCTCTAGCTCCCACAAAGCAGTCAGCGTCTCCAGAAGCCAATCGCAGGTGAGCAGTTGGAATAGCTGAAATTAGATCCGAATCAGAATACAAATAATGAGTGACGATCTCTCTCTCAGCGTGGCAGGGACTGGAAGTGGACCAGCGATATTGGACGACGTTGATTTATGAAATGCACAGAGCTTGCACTGCAGTTGTATTGCCTGAGATCAAGATGGACAGACAATGCGACTACAATGCACCTGCGTGTCATCTCTGGGAGTGTTTGGTTTGGTGTTTTTGTTTTGTTTTTTTTTGTTTTTATCAAAATCAGATTGTTACACTCTCTCACCAGCTGAATGCCTTTGGCATTGGTGATCCGGTTGACGGTCAAACATTCCTGGAGCTGTGCACTGGCGTCATCGCACAGACTGTTGATCGATCTCTTGAGCCGTTTGTCGGGAGTGTTGCCATTGTTCCTGCATGAAAAAGTTAAACATTTCTTATCTTTCTCCCTGGAAATATTCACGCACACTTACATGAGCAATAACATTTTAGCACCGAGCGCCGCATGAAGGGCTTTAGGCAGGTGATTGGTGTCGTTGTTTGGCTCCAGCTGCACGGGGATCTGCTTGATGCTGTCGTATAGTTGTTCGGCCAGCGTATCCTCGCCAAGGAGCCAGTGTACGGCAATTTCCAATATGTTTGCCCACCACACAACATTCGTATCGCGTTCGTCCTCATCGGCCCAGAGCGTTTCCCTCAGCAGGGAGGTATACTTGAGGACATTGCTGACTATGGTGCCGCTGTGCTGTTGCAGTTCCATTTCACCGCCGGATGTGGGAAGTCCAGCCGCCGACTTGTGTCCAGCTCCCACGAGACACTCAATGGCCTTAAACAGTAGATGTTCCCTATATTGCTGTGAACGGAAGACTTGGATATATGTAGGCAGAACGCACAGAAAAGAGCGATACTAAGAATCTACCTTGATGACATAGGCAGCGGGATCGCAGGCGTTTCGTAGCCTGGTGAAAAAGCCATCCTGTTCGCCAGAGTCACTCAGATCGTAGCTAAAGTCATGGGTGCTGCAATAACGAAAGCCGTAGGCACTAAAGGCCCAGCGTAGTTCCTGCGTCTGTTCAGCAGCCCGTGTCCGTCCGCACTCTTGTCGAGCCCGACCCATGTAGTAGAGGGCAAAGAGTGACTGCAGCCACTTGGGTGCACTGCGCTTCATGCGGAGAGCAGTCGTAACATGTATGCAGATCGTCTCGCGCGGTGTCAATAGATTGTGGGCCACCTCGGCCATATTGCTGGCATAGAGTGCCATCATAATGCCATTGCCGTCCGTGCTGTTGCCATGCCCAGTCAGATGCAATTGATTGAGCCGATTGAAGAGCAAGGACAGCTCTCGGGCCGAGGACAGAGCCTGTTTCCGGTTGGCAGCTTTGCAGAAGAGGCCTCCGGTGCGGCGCGACAGCACACGACCAAGCCAGAGTCTGTGGAAAATGAACCGCAAGAACTGCCAGGTGGTCTGCAGATAGCACTCCAAGCGTGTCGCTGGCAGGCTCAGTCCGAACATGTGCAGGCAGTTCAGATAGCCGGCATAGGCCTGTGCTCCCTGACCCGCTGCAAAGTCTGCCTCGGCCCGCTGCTTGTGCTGCCAGTAGGCATCTGTCTGAGCATCCAACTGCGGATCGCCGTAGACCAGCAGCTTGACCAGGCATCCCAACATGAGCGTTAAATTCAATAGCCATAGCCAGGAGCTGTGCTGCCAGCCAACATGGCCTGCCACCATAGGGAAAAATATTAAATATTAAAATGAACACATTCTGTGGCTGAGAGAGACTAAAAACTCACCACCATCCACATCGTAGGAAAGAATCATGCGCCTTTGACGGCTCAGCTCGCCTCCAAGATTATCCTCATCTTGCTGCCCGCCGTGGAGGAAACTCTTGAAGGGATTCACTGCCAGAATCGCAAACATAAACATGCACAGGCCCAGGCGCGAGTGGGTGGCCATGCCTCGCATAGAGCTTGGCACCACCAGTAGGTCATCCTTGCTGCAGCTGCTGTCGCCGCCACTGCTGCAGCTGGCGGTGGATCCGCCGTATGGCGAGGGCGGCAGTGAAATGTCCGAATGCAGAGGGGAGAGAGAGGGATCCGAGACATCACTACGCGGCGGAGTTAGCCCAGCATCTGTGGTAGATGTCAATGAGCTCTCGCGACGCTTCTTCGAGCCACCACGGACGGGCCACGGTCGCGTTTCGCGCTGAAGTAGATCCTTAACTTGAGAGCCGTCGCGGGCCATTAACTCACGCTGCAAACGCTGCAGCTCTGACTTCAGCTCGCTCGTCTGACGCTGCAGATCTCGTATCTTGTCAATGGACTTGCGCAGCACGGCCGACTTGTTAAGCTTGGCCTGATCCCCCACCACTAGATTCTTCAGTTCGGTGATCTTGTCGTTGATCGAAGTGCGGTAGCGACGCTCGATGGCATTGTGGGCCGAACGCTTCACTTCCTTCACCTTGGGCTGTGCCCTAGTGATGGGCACTTTCCCGGCCATCGATTGATTGGTGGCTTCGGTGGCTGGAGACGGTGCCAACAGTACTCGCCCCTTGCTAGCTCTGCTCCCGTTGCTGTGGCCGTGGCCGTTGCTCGGTGCGATGGGCGGTGAGGGCTTGGGACTGGTCACAGTTATGGTCTGCTCTAGCAGAACCTTCATATGTTGATCAGCAGATGTCAAAATCGTGGGATTAGTGGCGATGGGCTGGGTATACATGATAAAGGGTTGTGGTTGTGGTTGCGTGGGCATTGGGGAAGGGGTTTGAAGAGGCGTCATGACCTGGATTCTTTGCGGAGTCGACTCGGCTGGTGGCGTTGGAGGGGACGAGGTTTGGTACACATAGCCACTGGGGAGAGGAGACGTGTATAGGGGGGTATTTTGCGGTAGCCTTGTGGCATCCATATGATGTATCGTAGTGGTGGGCTGGGGAGCCTTAAGGACCAGCTGTTGCGGCGTCTGAGGTTGCTGCTGCGGTGTCTGAGGTTGCTGCTGCTGCGACGGTTGAGGTTGTTGCTGAAGTAAGTTATAGCTGGTGGTCATCAGGGGATCCGCCTTGTAGAAGGGCAGTTGTAGTTCCTCCTTGATGTGCACTGGCGAAGAGTGCTCGCTCTTAACATGCAGCGGTTGTTGCTGCTGTGGCTGCTGCTGCTGCTGTTGTTGCTGTTGCTGCTGTGGCTGCACGATGGGCTGGGGCTCATCCATACGCAGAATATTCTCGTACATTTGCGCCTGTTCCAGGTCCATTTCGTTGAGGAAATTATCCAACATGTCCGGGTGCAGGACCTCGTTGATCATGTCGAAGGCATCGTCCTCTTTGAACAGGTCCAGTGACTCATCCACACGGCCGGACATGAAGTCCATGCTATTATGATCCATAGCAGATATTCTTGGGCTGCTGAAAACAACAACAATATTGTGTAATTAATATAACACACGTCTCCTCTCGGATTGTTTATCAAATTTCTAGGCGGCGCAATTACACATTGAAACCAACAACACAACAGTGGTTCCATACTCATTTGGATACGGTGAAAACTGTTGACAGATATGTATCTACGGCTACCACTTTGGGAGAGTGTAAGTGTAGCAGCGTAAGTTTAAATGCGTTTAAATATTAATGAATGTGGGGAAGAGTCCATGGTGTCCATTGGTTAAGCTTAGTGTAAGTCCCGTAATTTACAAGCTTGGCTGTTTTTCCACCACTGATGCGGACACTGTGCCCAGGGAAGCACACATACGCGAGCGGGAAAGCATGCAAAAGAGCTCTCGACCAATCAGAGCGCTCGAATGGATCATACGATGTGTTTGTGACGCCACCTTTGACTCTTGCCGCTCTAGTGGAACATTTTTAGTGGAATATTCTCCTAATTGTTTGATTTACGTTGCTGAAACTTGCACTTGGATACCATCACATTGAAAATCTCATTATTTTCACCTTTTAACTATTCTGAAGTTCACTTTTGCTTTGATTTTGCCATAACCACCACTGTAGCTTCGGATACGCTGACGAATTGCTGGTCCCCACTAGATAAGGTTCATGTTGATGTATACTGCTGCTGTTCGCATGCGTAGCTACTAGCTGTATCTTTGATTGATTAATAAACAAATGCAATTGTGTTTGCAGCGACCGAAATACGTTTTGCGCTTTTAAGCTATTTATCAGCTGTTTCGAAGAGTGTTACCGGACACGAAAAATATATTTATTTATACTATCGATATGCTAAACAATGCAACTCGTTTTGGGCAATCGATGATACATATTGAATGTATTTCGTTTAAAATTAAATTTAAATTATACGGTTTCTGTTAATCCTGCAGATTGTCTTTTCCAAAAGCAATAGCCATGCTCCAGCAGAAAGCCCAAGCTGCTCAAGACAATGCCCAGCGACCACAAATAGAAAGCCCCCTGCAATACATCCAATGTGAGAACGACATGTTTCTTGCGTCGATTGCCTGCGGCGTCGGCGACAGCAGGATCCGTATCCGTTTGGTCGCCCAACTCCTCATAGAACTCCTCTGCATCGGGCGATGTCCCATCCCTAGTTATCAGATCCATTTGGCGCCAATGCTCGTAGAATCCGTGCTCATGAAAGCCCGTGTAGAGCGACTGAAACTTGTAAAGGAATGGCGATCCCATCGGCATAATGTATGTGCACAACATGGATCTGAGGTACTCCTTAACAATGTGATAGGAGGGACGATCCGCCTGGGTATTGTAGGTGAGGGCTAGGAAGTCTCTCGCATGGAAGTCCCTCATTATAAAAGCGGATCGCCTGTCCCTGCGACTAACTATGAGCTGATAATAGGAGGTGGTTAGATCCAATGGCAGTTGCCTGCTCCTGCTAGCCAACAAGTCGTAGTGGCGCTCCGACAGCGTGGACTTGACCGCATCGAAGATGGTGGTCACCGCATAGATGCGCACATTGAGGCTGGAAAGTCCGTCCAAATTATTAAGCTGCGCCTCGTAAGTGGGCCGGACAAACCCACTCTCCAGCTTGGCAAAGTAAATGGTTGTCACAACATAGCTGAAGAGAATCCAACACATGAGGAAGGCCCGCATCGAGCTGATCTGGGCGAATCTTTCCACAGGCTCTCCCACATGGGTCTTGCCAAACATCTCGACGATCTCATACCAACGAGCGACGGTGAATCCCCGCCCAATCTCCCATCTCCGTGGCACTCGCTTCTGCAATCTCTGCAAAAGCCAGAAGAAGAACACGACCAGCAGAAAGTTGGCCAGCAGAAGATGCCACACGGACCGGCGAAAGACACGGAGAAAGATCAGGTACTCCGGCTGGATGTCCGACGCTGGCACCACCAGGTAGAGCATCCTGCGCGTGTGTGGATATAGCACCTCCACCTGTGGCCACATGCAGTCTAGGACAAAGCGTGAGTTGGGACCAAAGTGCGTCTTGCCGCTGGTGAGATCCTTGACTACGCCGGTGAAGCTTCCATTGGAAAGACAGCGTCCATAGGACTCGTTATCATCGGGCAGGACGTAGGTTACGCTGGCGTTTAGGATCTGCGCGGCTACGCGGGCTGCCACGCCATCGACTGCCCTGTATCCGTATCTGGCCACCGGTTGTATCGGTATGGCCATCAAGGGATCCGTGAACATGGAGTAGCGCAGCTCGAATCCCCGCAAATCCCTCAGCTTGTCGGAGTAGCTTACAGCGTGATCACGTTGCCGCACCACCCGAAGACCACCATCGGCAAAGGGGTCAAACTCAAAGATTCCATCGTCTACTCGAGTGATCGCCAGCCCAAAGAGCAACTGCTTCGCCCAGCATCCAGAGAAGAGGGCCTGCAGTTGATCCTGGTTGGCACCGGGCCACAGGAAGATGTACTTGTGGAGGTGCTTGCGAGGCTGCCGCGGATTTAACATATCGATTATGCGACGTACCAAGGCATCGCCATGGTGGCCGGCGGGAATATGAAAGATGCTCATGCTGTCTGTCTGACGCAAGGGCTCCAGTTCGTTGCTCTCAATGTTGCGCGTCACCGTGGCCACTCGACTGCCAACACATCGATGCAGCTCCAGCTCCTGGGCCAAATGTTCGGGTGTGCCGGCGCCCAAGCAGCTCACACATCGATAGATGTAGGTGACCTGCGTGGCCTGCTGAATCACGATTCGGCAGCTCATCCTAGCCAGCCTCCATTCTGCAGATGAAGAATGGGAGGCCGCACAAATTATTGGCAGGAGCAGCAGAACGACCAGTGACTCCCTCATCTCAAAGCCAACTGCCGGAGGTATTCAAGTCACCGCTTGACGGCAGTCCTCAGCTCCCAGGGGACTCGTATCCCAATTAGGATTGCGTGAGGCCCTATTTAAGCGCGACGCGGTGGTATCTCATTCCACAAAAATTAAGCGTTTGCTTGCCCGGTCAAAATAAACGTTCGTAATATGTTTGTTTAACGCAACAGGAGAAAATTGGCTTGCATGCTTATCATTTTTAGAATTTATGCCGGACAAATTGGATTTTGAACAATAGTTGTGTTTGTTTTGTTTTCAAAATACAGAACCCGCCGAATTCCTTCCGCCTATCGCACAAAAGTACCGATATTTTAAGCAACTCAACTGTTCTGTGCATCGATATGTAGAATCCAAAGTCGCGGGAACATCCAACTAATTCTAACAAATTCAAGCAAAATAAAAAGTGTCAGTATTTAGAAATGTAGTTCCGTTGATTATATATCACGAAAAATCACCTAAAAAAAATTTGATTCAAAAAAAATATATATATCGATATTATACATCAATATATATCTAACATCCCTAGTTTGCTGTCATTGTCACTTCCGCTTGCGAACAAAATACGGCAAAGAAAAACTGCGAGTGGCGAGTGTTTTAAGATCACACTCAAAAATAACATCAAAAGTGGTAGTGGTAGTTGAAAGAGTGCCACAACTGACCGCCAGCAACAACAACACCGACGACAAACACAGACCATCAGTCCCAAAAGCATAAGCAGAAAATAATATAGTTGCGGCTTTTGAGCATAGCATCGCATAGCCAAAAAAAAAACTTGGCTGACACCTCAAAAGCGGTAGCAGTTTATTTTTCTTCCTTTTATTTTTGGAAGCGCGTGTTCGTCGAGTGAGGGTGCGAACAACAACGAAAAGATGGCAGACTCTGAGAACCAACCGCAGCAGCTGCTGCCCATCGAACAACAGCAGCCGCTGGCCGAGGAGGAACAGCAGGAGGACGATGGCCAGCAAGGTGAAGGCAAGCCAGCTCCGCCGCCGAAGGAAATTATTGGTAAGAGCAAACGTAAATGGATTTGCATTTCATTCATACGCAAACACATGGCGACCGCTAGTTCTACCAAAATAGCAATGAAAGGAATGAAAAAATTAAATGTGCGTGTGTGTACACATATGTGTCTGTTTGTGTCTTAAAATATACGCACGACGGCCATTTTGTATAGCAAGGCGGCACATACATATGGAACGTTCACCGGCTCACCGCCCCGCCACCTCATGAAAAGCGGCCCCGGCCGGGCCGCAAAGAAACGAAATGAAAATTTTGCCTTTTACCGGTGTGGCCCACCCCCGTACGTTTGCTTTGCTTTGCTCATGCCCCTGCCTGCCCCCCCACCGCACATAAAATCCGAGCAACCCAATTTGTTGGTCCTCTCTGCGCGCGCGCACTCCGAAGAGACTTTTTAAAGATATTTAGTGAGAGAGAGAGAGAGATGGAGAGTGACAGTATGTTCATGTGTGTGTGTTCATTGTTTTGGTAAATTTATTTGTATACACTGCCGCAGACACGCACCGCACAGTGGGATGTGCTTGCATCGCGCCTATTGGACATTCAATGAATTTTGAAGGAACCAGAATACGCATGTAACCCACTATTCATCCATTCCATTCCGCCTCAAATGGTAACAGAACCCACATTGACGTTTCTAACCTCACAATTGCAGCGACCAAAGTGACCGGCACCGTCAAATGGTTCAACGTGAAGAGCGGCTACGGTTTCATCAACCGGAACGACACCAAAGAGGACGTCTTCGTGCACCAGAGCGCCATTGCCCGCAACAACCCGAAGAAGGCTGTCCGCTCTGTCGGCGACGGTGAGGTGGTCGAGTTCGATGTCGTTATTGGCGAAAAGGGCAACGAGGCAGCCAATGTTACCGGTCCTTCTGGTGAGCCTGTGCGCGGCAGCCAGTTTGCTGCGGACAAGCGTCGCAACTTCCGGCCCTGGATGAAGAAGAACAGCCGTCGCAAGGATGGCGAGGAGGGTGATGAGATGGAGTCCCCGGACCAACAGCAGCAGCAGCCCCTCGACGGACAACAGCAGCTGCAGTCCGGACCCCGCCAGCCCCGCCAGAACTATCGTCGCGGCCCAAGCGGCCCCCCCGGCGGACCTCGCGGCGGTCCGCGTGGTGGTCCAGGTGGACCCCCTGGTGGACCCAGGCGCTACAACAACTACTACCCGCGTCAGCAGCGTCGCGGTCTGGGCGGCGGTGATGGCAGCAGTGCCGATCCTGGTGTTCATGACCAGAATCCCGAGGGCTTGCAGCGTGGCGGAGAGGGACCCCGTCGCGGTGCCGGCGGCCCCGGAGGACCCCAGAGACGCTTCTTCCGACGCAACTACAACAACGGGCCACCACCACCACGACGCGATGGCGGGGAGTACAGTGAGTACACTGCACCAAGTAACTCCAAACAAGCCTCCCATTTTATTTTCTTGAATTAACTTTTCGCTTTGCCTTTGTTGCAGTTCAAGGCCAGGGACCGCCGCGCCAGCAGCAGCCGCGTCCCCGTCGCCAGAATCGGAAACCAAATGGTCCTGGCGGTGGTCTGGAGCAGCAGCAACAGCAGCCACAGCAGGTAATGAACTAATCACCACTGACACAACAAGAAAAACATCGCCAATGCAACATCCAACCACAACAACAACAAAAGAACAACCACTAATCAGCATGGCGGCGGCAACAACAACCAAAACAAAACAACTACTTGGTGTCGGTAACATAGAAATAGAAACACCCCAATCCACTCCACTCCACACAACTAACTAAAATGCATTCATAATTAACCACTAAAACATCAGAGGGAAGACGAATAATTGTAATACTTAACATAAGAGGCTTTGGGTCTAACAATATGAATGTAACAAAACCAAACAAATAACAGCTCTTCATGACTTTTGTTTAAGTTTATTTCTTATGATTTACCATTACCACCATCCGCGAATCCTCTACAGAACGGCGCCCAGGAGGTGCAGAATACAACAACAGAAAGTACTGCATAGATCCAGACAACAAGAAGAAATAGAACAACACCACCAGCAGCAACAGCAGCAGCAGCAGCAACAACATGCAACAAAAACAACTCAAAAAAAAAAACCACAACATCAAGTGCAAGAGACACTGCAAATAAGAGCAGCAATAGAATGGGCCGTAGCGTATTTTATATTTGGTTTGTTTGCTTTGTTATCCGTTTTGTAGGGAAACTTTCATGCACACCCCCATCCCATACCATACAAAAGCAAAGAGAAATAATTTCCAATTCAAATTTAAAACCCCGAAAATGTGCAAAACAAATTGAAGTGTATTATAGAAAGCAATAAATTCAAATACGCCCAAAAAATTCTCAGAAAGGTCAACAAACACTAAAAAAAAAAAACAGTTTATTGTTTATAGTTTATTTTAAATTTAAATTATTTTACAAAATTTATGTTGAACCATTTACCTCTCACACAAGCATACTACTCACAGCCATTCACCCCATCGCAAGTTGAAAACCGTTTAATTAACATAACTGTAACTGAATAAAGAGAGAAAGATAGGGAAGAAACGGGCGCGCAGCAGAGCAAAGCAAACAAGAGAATCATGTAATTCAAAGCAAACTTCATAAAGAAACTGAGAAAAGAGCAAAGCGATAAGTCTACATACAACAAATGCGAAATGGCAACAAAGAAAAGTAAAAAAAAAAACTTTAAAAACATATTGGAAAAAATAAAAAAATTGAAAAACACATTTTTGGGCTGCGTCTATTTAAGAAATTAACCCATTTATTTGCTATCATATCTGTAATGCGAGAAATACCCCATCCTTCCGCTTAACAATATCAAGGCTACTAGTGTACTAGTTTGGGCAGCAATTGGCTCTAAAGTGTGTTGAATTTTACAAGTTTGTCGTTAGCGATGTGACGGTGGATATGTTCAATCTCTCCAGGCGGCCCAGCACAAGCAGCTCATCTATGGAGCGCTTCGCATAGAACTTTTGGTCTTCGCTCAGCTTGAGAAATGCATGAGCCCAGGAACGGGCGTAGCTCTCGGCCTCGGCTAGAGCACTTGGATCGATCTGGGTGCTGTTCGTTTTAGGCTGGAGCGTCTCTCGTTTGAAGTCCTCTTGAATCACTTCGTTCTCCAGCACAATGGGGCATTGTTCCTCCGTTTCGGCCGAACAGGATTCCTCAGAAAATAATTTAATCAGCGGCCGCGTGTCAGAGGAGTTCAATCCCAGGTCTATATCCGGTTCCAGCTTAGGCCAAAGAAAAAAGGTCACTGTTATCACATGTAGTTCAGAATGGTTTCTTATTGTTTTTCCACTTACAAATTCTTCGATGGGATCTGGCTCATCATGGTTCTCCAGCTCCTCGCCCATCTCGTCGTACTGTCTTTTGGAGGCCCTCTTTTCCTCGTAGAACTCTTCGTATTGGTCGGCGTATGTCAGTTGGCGGATTGTCCCTGTGGATTGCACCCTGGTCGGGACCCTTTCGTTGTCGATACGATTGGGCAGGCTCTCAGAGTCGGTACCAGGACTTGGCGCATCGTCGACAGATATATTTCCGTTTTGCTTCAGGTACCGGACATGACATTTGTGTATACGAAGATTTGAGGTGGTTCCGCCGGTGGACTGCATAACCCGCTTGCATCCCATACAATAAAAGCGCCATTTCAGTCTTGATCCATCTCCCCTGACAATCTCCCGATATACATTCCACACCGAGCTGCGCTTTTTCTTCTTCTGCAAAACGTATTCGCCTGTGTTAATTTTGAGCAAAATGTCCAGCTGGGACTCTTTGCCCTTCTCTTTTTCGGGAGTATTTATTGTAAACATTTTTTGTTCAGGTCGTCCTCATAGCGGCGGCGCTATCGCCCAAGTTGGCAGTCCACACAAACCAGGGCTGGATATCTAGTAAAAAAAAATTATCGATGAAATAATGAAACGTAGTTATCGGTATCAAAGAAAAAAATGAAACTATCAATGAAATAATGAAACGCAGTTATCGGTATCAAAGAAAAAAATGAAACTATCAATGAAATAATGAAACGCAGTTATCGGTATCAAAGAAAAAATGAAATTATCGGTATCAAAGAAATAATGAAACGCAGTTATCGTTTTCCGCCCGAAAAGCAACTCTGTTTCGCGTTTTTTTTTCGCTTAATTCACACAGTTGTTTTGGCTGAGCAGCCTGAACATGTCCTTGTACTTTATTTAATTGATCTTTGTAAATTAATTATTTTGGCTGAGCAGCCTGAACATGTCCTTGTGAAATGAGGATAACTCTTGCTTTAAGTATTTCATCGTCTTCAATTTTTCCCTCTCTATGGCCAGCTTTTCCTCTTCTATTTCCAGCAATCTAGCCTCTCTTTTGCGCTTGGCTTTGTACGTTTGTTCTATAGTTAAGTTCTGCTTATCAAGCTCCTCTTCATAGTTCTCCAAACACGGTCTTTCAGAAGGCAATTCCGGCTCCTCTGCCATGTCAGGCTTTGCGTATTTCTCGACAGACGGTCGACCAGAAGGGACTTCTATTTCTTCGATCATGTTATCTGAGACATACTCATCCTCCTCTTCCTCTTCTTCTTTTATTAACCCATCTTGAGAATTGTCCTCTTGGTCCTCTTCAGCATACGCCTCGCCGATATTTTCGGATGCACTGTCCATGTCATGAACGTCGTCATCTGTAGAGGCTACAAGATAATAAATGGCATTATTTATTGTCTCTCTGACGTATCTCTTTGACACTTACCTGCACTATTGAAAGTAAAATTACTACTTAGATCGACGGCTTTTGTGCCAATTAGGAGCGACTGAAGTCTATAGAAATGCTCCCACTTGGATGGTCTGCCAAATAATTTAACATCCTTCGCCTCTTTGCTAAAAAAAAATAGTTCCGATCGTATACCAGTCAACAATATGCAATACGCAACAATAAACAAACCGATATTTTTTGGTCAAGTTGTCCATTTTTGCTTTGACTTCGGTTGCGTTTGCCCCGAATTGCTTCATTTTCTCGGCCATTTCTCTGTGAACATGGCAATTCTTGCGCCTGCCGCGCAAATCCTCGATGTACGTCGCCCACAGCTGTAGAAGCATTTTGGTGCCATTGGCACACCATTCGTGTCGGGTTGGATTGTCTTTGCGATACCGTCGCTTCCTTAACTCTTCTTGCGTATACTCCAGCTGAGGATAACTATTGGAATCCTACACATTTCCTGCAAAGGACCATTTCAAATCCAATTTTGGTGGGTGCATTGGTACGTACCTGATGTTTCTCCAAGACGTTTCTCGCATCTCTGCCACTGTGCAGCTGTCTCATATAATCTACGTGACACTTATGGATGCGGAGATTGGAGGTATTGCCATGGCCGGATTTCAGCACGCGATTGCAGCCGGTGCAAAAGAATGACGTTCTAAGTGTTTTACCATCGGGTCCCATGATGACGCGGTAAACTTTCCAAACGGTGCTGCGTTGATCCTTCCGCAGAAGCTTGTACTCGCCGTTTTTGATTTTCTGTGCTATTTCTCGCTGGGATTCTTTAGGTTTAGCACCATTTTGTTGATTGTTTATAAAAATTTTTCTTGTTTCCATTTCGTCGGCCATAACGCTAGTAATCAGCGCCGATAACGATACAAAATACCATCCGGCCAAAAAAGTAAATACCATGAAATACCCTTTCAGTTTCGAAAAATACCATTATATACCACGATAAAATAAATTACTTTTGGCATAAACAAAAATATGGCCATAATAGGTAAACATTAAATTTGCATTTATTTGTTTTTTTGCTTAAAATGTTGCAATATATCTCTATGGAATGCGGACAATTCTCGTACAGCCGCTTTCATAACTTTAAGCTTCTCCCGCTCTATGGACAGCTTCTCCTCTTCGATTTCCAGCAATCGCCCTGACAGACTGTCTTTCATATTCAATTCACTTTTAAACTCTGGCGAGGAGGTGAATCTCTCGTATTGATCCTCTTTTAAGTCTTCTGGGTCTACTTTATGATCATTTTTTGCAAGGTGATCCTCGTGGGGATGGTCGTCTATCTCGCCCTCTTCCTGTCGACCATTTTTGTAACTGGAAGCTGGAGAATCCATCCAAGAATGCATTTCATTATCGTCAGACCCCAAATCGGTGCTTAAAATGTTTGAGGATCCTAAAACAAATTCTTTGTTATATGATTTGTGTATTAGAAATGATTTTGCTATCTTATTTTACCATTTTTCTCGAACATAATATCCTCAAACACATTGACGGCATTGGTACCAATCAGGAGTTTTTGAATTGTATGGAAAAGTAACCACTGGGAACGAACACCGGTTGCCCGAAGTTTCTCAGCTTCAAGGCTATTAATAGGAAAACAAATTATATACGTCTGCTTTCCGAGGTATATTTATATGTAGATACTTACCGATATTTCCTCGACAGGTTATCCATTTTACCTTTAATCTCAGATTGACTCGGCTCACCAAAATCACGCATTTGATGTTCCATCTCTTTGTAAATTATTGTATTTTTTTTCTTACCGCGAAACTCATCCAAATGCTTCTCCCACAATTGCAGCAGCCTAACTGTCGCCTCGGAGCTCCAGATAAAGCGCTGGCTGGACCGCGTTTTCGAATGTAAGCTTTTTATTTGAATCTGATTCGCCGATGGGCGGTAGGGTTTGGACTTAATGCCATTAATCTTCCTAATGCACACATCCTTTGGCGCGTCTGTATGTTGCACGTAAATCTTTTCAGCTGTCTCGCTATCCCTCGATTTGACGGATTGCACAGGCAGAAGTGGGTCCTCGTCGGTGAGCAGTTGAAAGAGAGGTCGTTTGGCTGGTGGCGGATCATCTACAATCTCAGCCTGGAAGGGATACAATTTATAAGCTGTTCTACTGTGCCACATACTATTATTTACCTCTGGTTTATCTGCCAAGGGATCATCCTCATAAACTTCCTCTGGGTATTCTGTTTCTGGTAATGCTCTTTTATTGGTCGCTAGTTTCCTTTGGTCATTGCTTCGGTTGTTGTTGTTGTTGTTACGGCCGCCCAACATTTTGCTACGCGTCCTCGTTCTCTGCGCGTTGCACGTGGAACTTATGAGGCTGCCATTGGTTCTGGACCGCAGTACGGGTGTACTGGACCGTATCGTGTTCATAGTGCTGCAGGAGCAATTATTTAGGGCGCGCACAAATAAAATAAATATAATTATTTACAATTTTTGTTTTGTTTGTCAAAATCGGATTTATCGATAAAATATACCGCCTGGCCCTCAAAAATATACCTTCTCAAGATGGCAATGTTCAACACGGAAACATGTCTTTTACAGCACTTGTTTCTGAGAAATATCGATATTTATTATAATCGATAGATGGCAGCCCTGGCTTTAAAACGCGGCATTTATTGAACTTTTGTTGTGTGTGTTTCAAAGTAGTGTGGTTTACATGAAATGGTTTAAAACAAGTTCTAAGCTGTAGTCAAAGAGAAAAGTCTATATGGTTTAGTTCTTCGGGCTTAAAATCTTCGAAATATGTAATTACACACACATGTAAGTTGATCTCAATGAATTGATGAGGACCACAATTGCCCTAAAATATTCGCTGTATGGAGATTTCGCACGCATTTTTAGCTAATCAAGCAAATTTGACCTGGGGACGAACATAGACATCTGGGAATCAGCCCAAGGCACAACGGACGACAACAATCAACGACAATTGGCCAAAGATTACGACTAATGGTTGGCCGCCCCACAACTGTTGCATCTCCGTGCGTCGTCGTTGTCGTCTGCTTGGACATGCAAAGCATCAGGCGGCAAGGCAAGACAACTCCAGAGGTTGGTGTGCGTTTGGTGCCTGTGGGAGCTTGGCAACCGGTTTGAGGAGTCCCCGAGCCAGGCCAGGCCAGTCACTTCTGTCTCTCCTGCTGCTTTTTGCCGGCTGCAAAAGTTCGGGGCTCGTGCTGGTTGGGGCCAAAACTTATGGCTTTGCATTTAACCTGTCACTTAATCGGAACTGCAACCGTCTGCTTTCCAGCAGTAAGTTAATGACTGTTGTTGGCTCGTGCCGAAGCAGATGCAGCGGCCAGAGGTTTGACAGAGGCGTGGAAGAATTTCAACTTTTGATGTAGATTCCTCTACATATATTGTTTAAGTTTGAACGGAAGCATGTGCTGTAATCCCATTTTGAATTGTATTTATGTATTTTATTTTTCCTCATTTTGTGGAGCCAACTTAATTGTTTCTTGCGGTCGTGGGAATTGTTTCTTACTGCCATCCGTTTCGATTCTTGGGGTGGTGGCACGACAACAGCAGAAACAACAATTGTGGCGACCATGACTTTGTGCAACAACTGGCGGTGACAAGGAAGACAAGGAAGCAGCAACAACAACTTGATGATGGCCCCATTGCATCATTATGGGACTGACTCCGTTAGGGCTGGGCGAGACCTTATTTGTTTGGCGCATAATTTATGCATGTCGCTGTATTATTGCAGTTGCATTCGTATGGATGATGGCCTACGCTTTTTCGTTGCATGCAGCATGCAGCACAACCCGATTCATGGGCCGTGCCCGCTGGCGCTTGATTGCAGGTTGTCATGCGCTGGGTACACTCGACGCGCATCCATGTCAGGACTCTGACATGCTTCATATCCCTTATAAACGGGCATCCTACGGATCCCAGCCGAACGAGGTCTGGTCTCTCCAATCCGTGTGCTTTTTTTGACGTGGGTCGGTAGTGCAGTTAGATAAACATAAGATATGTTTGCCAGAATAAATGTACATAAATGTAGCCCAGCTGAAGTTCTGTGAGTGTCTTACCGAGTCCGAGAAGTCCTTTTGTATCTCTATGAGTACCGAAAATGATTTTCCTAGGTGTTAACTCTCCACTTTCGTACCGCAGAGACCAAGTTCAGAGATAACCAATTAAGATCCAAATAGTAGAACCACCAGCTGGCTGCTATTAATGCATAGAGTCGCGATGAACCGCCCGATTGGAAACACAGAAACTAATTTGATTTGACGAAAGTCAATTAACAAAAGAGTCGAGTTCGTCCGCCTAAGAACACGAACCCAAATGTGATCCGTCGACTGCTTGCTTATCGGGACAATTGAGCGTGCTCCGAACGGTTCGGGGCCATTGAAATTAATTACGTGCGTGTGTGTGATTGTGAGTGTGTAGAAGCATGGGGAGGGAGAACAGTAGCTGTAAAAAGTTTAATGAGCTGCCTGGACGGACGTACGTACACACGAAACGACACGAAACGTAAACGAAAAACGTGAAGGAAACAGAACAACAGTCAAAGCAGAAGAGCAATAACATCAGCAACGAGAAAGAAATACCGAAGATTTTGATACCCTTGCCGATCGATCTTACTTAACTTCGCTCTCAAAATGGTATAGACTTGTGATTGATCATTCCCATGGCAGCTACAATAGTACATATGTATGTATGTACATATGATTGAAAGAAATAAGTATGTGAATATTTTATGTTAATCACCGATGAACGATGTGTGTCAAACATTTCGACTACTCTCTGGCAGGGTATTCAAAAACAAAGAACGATCGAAAAGAAGCGCGTTTGTTTTGATTCTGCAGCAGCCGAAGACAGATACAGAAGAAAGAAGAAGCAGAAGAAAGGAAAACACGCAACAGCCAACGGCTTTTAAATTAAAAAGTTGCTGGCAAAGCATAAACGCATAAAACATACACAGATGAATACAAGAGAGCGAGAGCGAGAGAGAGAGATGGAGGGAGAGCAACAAGTTTGCCACAAACAAACTGGTTTTTTCACTCCCCACCCCACACACACACACACACTAAGTAAACTCGACTCTCTCAATCAGAGAGCGAGCATTTGCTCGATTGAAACGCTACTCTCTCTGTACTCGGTTCAAATTTACAATTTAAGCTTTGATTTTCTGTGGCCGCGTGCGGTTGTCATTGCTCCGTCTCGTCTCTTCTGTTGGCGCTTTTTCTCGTCTCCTTGGCTTGTGTTTTGCCAAATTTCCACGCGAAAAACCGTTTGCTTGGCATTGTAGATCAGATATTACCCTCTGGCAGGGTATTCAAAAATAAAGAACGAACGAAAAGAAGCGCGTTGTAGTGATCTATCCAAAATGTACTAAAAGGTGTCAATAGTGTACATACATATTATTTGGTACAATTTGAGAAGTCCCCAAACTAAAACTGTTTTGTGTTCCTGTGCCTGAAATTGCATTTGATTGGGATTTTCTGTAGGTAAGTTCCATTTAACGAGCTATTCAAAGATGTACAAAAGAGAAACCATTTGGTAATAAGAGAACTTTGTTGTATCTGCTTCTATCTCCACCCTCAAACCCTGACCTAGACAACAGCTGTTGTAGAAGCATTGTATTTAAAACGGATCTCCGTTTCGCAGCTTTGTACATATGTATGTATGTTTAGGGATATATATATATACATAGACGCGTTGTATATTGTAGATGACCAATCAAGTCCTCTCTTTCCTTTTATGGTCCCTTCTTGCCTTATTTTCACTCTTCCCCAGATCTGCTTGGTCAGTTTTTTCTTTTGGCAGTCCTATGGAGCTGCGACACCAGCATTAAATTGGGTTAAATTAATAAGTTTAGGCGTTTTGTTCCCAATCTTCGATCTGGCTCAATAGTTAGTGCTCATTTTCCTCTCTCAGTTCGTGACTGGTTTTGCGTGCAGAGACCGCTTGGGCGCTGAAAAACCTTCGCTGTGTACTTTTGCCGTGCGCCAGCTACAAGATATAATTGTTCGATTGATAAAACTGCCAAACCAAACTAGACCTCGACGACCTGAGAGACCCCTATTGTTGCTCTAATTTATTTGCGCCTTGAAGTTTCCGCCTCTTGATTATCGCTCGCTTTTGTTTTCGGTCAGCAGAAATGCAATAAAATCAAGTCGAATATAACTCAAATGCGGTAAGCCATATAATAAAGTGGCACCCACGTCCAGGCACCAGTTCCAGCAGTGGTACTTCAAAACTGACCGCCAGTGCCCTGGACTGTGTCGCATAATTTTCGGGCTTAATTGATTTACTCCAGTGCTATTGGTTGCCTGAGGTGGAAGGTTTGTTGGAAATATTTAAAATCACTATCTACCCCACTATCTGCCCAAGTTATCTGGCCATATATGTATGTATGTACATACATACGAGCAGTGACTTCCCCAAACGACTCACTCTCGAGTTTCGTTTATCTGCAGTTGCATTTTTGTTCAAGCCCCGGGGGCTATCAAGCTTCGAATGCATTTTGCTTTGTTTCAAGTGCAGCAAACTTGAACTTAAAATCGGAATAATATATTAACATACATATCCATTATATATTATATATTTCGGATTTCCTGTAAGCAAATATAATCATCTTGTTATTATTCATTTTCTTGTTTTACTTGGATATTGTTTTCTCAAAAAGTTCCTTTGTGTGGGATTTTTTTTTTGTAATTCTATATGGAAAATCTTAGGAATAAATGCATGTACAATGTACATACATACATTACGTTCCCAAAATCTTCATACATCTGGGAATTCGTTTTCCCCATTTGGCATTGAATTTGTGCTAAAGTGAGGAACTATTTCAAGCAGCGATAAGAGAAAGCTCATGCCACATGCCACAGCTACTGACCACAAAATCCTCTACTCTACCCATTGCCTGCCATATGTCATCTATGGGGCAGTTCAATCGTCCCGAGACTTGTCACTGTCTGCAGAGAGACTTGTGGAACGGCATAGCATCGCATCGCATCGCTTGTCACTAAATTGACCCATTTCAGAGCTTAAGGCGATGGATGCCATGCCATGCCACAAAATAACGAAAAAAAAAAAAAAGACAGAAAAGAAAACCAGAACCAGACTGACAAGCTTAGAATGAATCTGCCAGAAGAGGCTACGACCAAGAGGGAGGCGGTAACCAGTTGCGTTTACTTGTGCATGTAAGTACATACAAACCGATATGTTGGATGCCAAGAAAACATTCTTGGGGGCACTCTTGTATGCGGCCGGACACTTTCGGCAGACACTGGGCCGTGCCGTGCCGTGCCGTGCTCTCTCTCTCTCTTACTCTGACCATTCTCCGCATTCTTATCTTAATATGCACATTTCTTCGCATGTCTCTTCGTGCTTCTGTTTCCGATCATCTCTCGTATGCTCTTACGTGCGTTGCCTATTGAAGAACCCCTGGGCTGTGTGGTGTGCCTCCATCCCTCCTCGCCTGCTCATTAGCAAGCCAAGTAACGGTGCACA